TATGATAGTTGAGAAAAATTAGGCTATAAACGAGGCACCTGTTTAGACCTTGTTAGTCAATTCTGCCTTCAGGCCACTTGAAGAAAGTTTACTGCGCATGTAGCCAAACAGTTGCAGAGTCATCGGAGTTATCGCGGTTACGCTTCCTGCTCACCAGGGTGAACGAACGCTGTCGATTGCTTAAAAGCTCCGGTGTCCCCAAGCTGCAAAACATAAACTTCAAAATTTATTTTATTTCACGCAATTTTCGGAAGTATTTGCGTGTGTATAATTGGATCTACCGTCGTTTTTTCAGTCAATGTCAGGAAGTACAAGTTTCGTTAGCCAAATGAGCACACAAAAAGTATCAATTCCTCCTCGTGGACTAACGGCCACAAAATTCACGCCACTAATGAGCGATCAGTACCTTCAGCAGAATGCACTTGTCCTTCATGATCCAACGGCTGCTAAAGCGCCCAACGTGGTGTCATGGCTACCCATTAACGAAATTCATAATTTTGGAGACTCCGTGCATCTGACTTCTCAGTTAATTCAGAAACCTCCGGAGCAAGTTGTACCCACGCAGCTGCTAAAAAAGGTGAGGAATTTCGTGTATTTTCAGGTGAACAATCGTCAACTTGTACAAGCACAGTGACTTTTCTGGTGCCTGTGCCCAACTTTTGGAGTAATTTGCCGCCGAAATTCAAACCAGCTGCATTCTTCTGCTGGCAGTTTCCATCAGAAACAGGAATTAGGTTATAATTAAGATACCTTTTTTGTGTTCAATACATTTTCAATACCCATTTTTACCCATTTCTTGGTATCAGTTGTGATAGACCGGTAATATGGGAACCTCAATTTAGTACAGATTTAACATCCTCGTGGAACCTCTATCTTTAAGCTAAGCAGAGTTTTTGGAAGTTTTGATCCATTCGCAGTAGGATGTTGTTCTAAATTAGCGGGGCATATGCAAATTAGTTATTTGCAGAATATCTGCCTTACATTTACGGTAAAACGGTTTTAGCTTGCGTCGTACACGGCGTGCCTGCCTAGACCCACCTTAAATGCCAAAGCTCGGACTACAACGCACTGCCATCAAGATATGCGCAGTCGATGCCAATGAGTTGCTGACGAAACGTCTGCAGCAAACCTTTATATCCTCAGGAGTGCCTTGTAAATCAACAAGCTGCCTTAACAACGAGAAGAACGTTGCACTTCCAGTACCTATTGCGAATTACTAACTATTCAACGGAACAAATAACATCGAGGAATACACTTGCTGACGCCCGTTTTGCAGTTCCCATTAAGGTGAAGTGGACATTTTTCCTGGAACGTCGAAACAAAAGGGCCATTAGTATGCGTAAAGCAGAAAAATCGATTATTGAAAATACTATGCAATCAACGATGCCAGTATGTTCAACGGGTCGGTGAGCATACTGGCTTCAGTGAAAGAGATCTTGTAGAAGTGAAGATTCATCACCCCATATCCGAAAGGCAATTGGTCTCAGTTTCCACCCAAGTTGCGTTGCTACTGACGCTGTGAGTAACAAGATGATTCAAATTCCTAATAATTCATATGTCTACATCTTGGTTACTTCACTCCAAATCTGTTGCTTCGCTGCCTTACGAACCAGTCCATTAAGACGGTACGGTGAACAAAAGCACAGAAACAGATAGGAATGATAGGTCAGATTGTTGGGCTTTTCTATGTACAGGGGCTGCGTTTGGAAGAATACTTGTTTGACCTACCAGTATCACAGTAGGTTTTTTGGAAAGTTCAATTCAAATGGCTTAGCTCAGTGAAACAATGTATTACTTCAGCAAACGTTTTCGAGGAAAGCGCAACATAAACATGTTTCATATCTCGGTTTCACTGTCACCTTGTTTAATATATTTGCCGGGACAATCGAGTCTGAATTTTTGAAGCTGTTCACTGGGCATAAAACAAACGGACAAACTTTCTAGAAGCTAATGGAAACTATTTTTTTAGCCTTCCCTTGAAATAGATACACGCCAAGATATTCTTGTGGCTTCCGTAACGTCGGTGTCTACAAAACCGTCCAAAAAAATACGACCAAGTGTGCAGGAGCACAGACAACACCAGCCTTTACGTGAACGGCGGAGTTCTACGCCCATGCAGGCTCCTCCATCCAGTCAGTCAGTTCTGCGCAACCATTCATCCGGAAGCAGGCATGCGCGGGACATCCAACCCGAAGTCCAGCAACACGTGGCGGGAAAAACTAAACACACAACCTCCCGTCCGGTGAGCCATGAAGTTTTTGTCCAGTGGCTTTATGAACTTTCATTTTGTTTGCTTTTTATATAACAATGTTTCACTGTTCATTATGGCTGAGACTTGCTTAAGGAACTAATTCATGTTCTTCCTTGATGAAGAACCAATACGAATGGGCTTGAAACTGAATGGTTTGGGAATACTATAATGCATTCCAACATTGAAGGCATTTTTGAATTCATTTCTCCTGAAGATACGGTTTCTGTTAGAGCTAATATTGAAGACCCTGATTTATATGACACCCAAAAAGCTCCTTTGGAAAAAGGTTAAGTTTTAGAAAACTTATTGTATTACTTATTGCGTCTGCTGTATTTACTTTTATTTAGTAGTATGCACTTCATTTTGGCTCACTTCTCACGTGAATATGATGTGTCATCTGAAGCTAAAGTATCCGTGTATCCGCGAAGATTCAGATATTGTGAATGGTTCCACGTAATTCTTTATATTTTCTTAGGGTTATTCATTTAGGACTGTTGTTAGATACCATTTCTTCGTGACAAAGGGAGATATGAAGAGACATGAAGGGATGCCGGGATTCAGCCTACAACAGAGTCGACCTCTGTATTGTCCGAAATTCAAGAGGCCTTGTGTTTTCGAGAAATTGAATGTTGAGGCGAAGTAAATGCTATTTGGAGACCCCTTGGTTTATAGATTTCTGCGTCCAAACAATGCACTATTTAACAACGGCCATTTCAACAAAAGCATTTTTGGTTTTAGTCCGTTGCTGAAAGTTTGATAACGTAATGAAATTTATCCCCTTTTTGTCATCTGCCATTGCGAAGCTGAAGCCACTCATGGTCTGAATGTTTCGGACAACTATTGTTTATTTGATCAAACTCCCATTTGACGGCCAGGCTTCGGAAGTTTTTTATCTACTTATCACCACTTCCAAAGGAGATAAGATGCACTGCTATGAATTATGACCAAAGGATAGAATAAAAATGCGGGATTCAGTAAACTGTATTCCCTCATATTTAATCGAAACTCATCCGATTTGTCAAGTGCTGTCATGATTAATTTTCCACTGAGTGTACTGGTGGAAAAATACTGCCCAAGAAAAGCGCATTCTATGTTCTATCGTTCAGGACCCTTTGTAAAATTTTGCGTCCAAGTTGACCTCAGTGCCTAATGTTAAGAGGGAGAATGGTTTAGAGACATGAAGAACAGACCACCCTGGCTTTTCTTACAACAAAGACAAGAACTCAGTTATGACTGCAAATTGACTGTGTTAGCTAGGTGCGGACACTTAAGAAGAGTTTGTGGCATCTTTAAGACCGATATCATTAACAAGTTTTGCGCGAGAAGCCGCAGAGAAGATGCAAGCATTCCACGCTCAGATTAAACATAATAAGTGATTTGCGATCTCACCATTTCAGAAATGGGGCTTCAACAAAAATCTCAGCGATACCATGTTGCATTCCTACTTATTCCGGGACATACTGTAAGATTTAGATGCTATCCTATGAAACGCGCACACACTTCATCATCTTCCTTTAAAAATCTACCTATAATAATATTCTTATTCTGCATGGTAGAGTAACGAATGTTACAGCACTTTGCATTCACAAAAGTTGGAAAAGTGAACCCCAGACGATGCTTTTACTTTTTTCTAGCTCTCACCGCTCAAACCAACGTATTCTGCCGAAAGAATATCGGATGCAAAGATTCTCAGACGAAAATCTAGCGATCGTTTGACAGATTCGTACCAACGGTATACGGGGATGAAACGTTTTTGGTCAGAGCCTCCGACGCACAGACTTGCAGGCTGCAGTCCACCTCTATCAATTTTTGGCCCTAGCGACACGCCATGCGCTATCTAGCTTCACTTTATACTGTCAAACCAGCGTGCCCTTCACCCTACATTCAGGTAAAAAATGTTCTGGTTCACTACGAGACCTATTTGCTGAAGAAATGATATAACTTGTAACTTAGGCTATCCTAAACACAATTGAAAAGAATAAAACATATAATACATAATATAATATATTATATATATTATATTATATGATATTACATATATAATATAATACAACAAAGATAAAAATCTATGACACTTTTTATCCACAATCTGCAATGATACACAAGATCAGCGTTACAGAGGACAACTGATTACGACTTGCCAATTTACAGCTGGAAAAAAGTTCACCAATTGGTCAACCATTTGATGTCAGGTTCCAATTTGCTTCAAGTACTGTCCGACCGCTTTCACCAGAAGCTTCGGTGGCTGCACACTGTAATAATATAGAGGCACTTTGCACATTTCCCGGTACAAGTATCGCAAGAATACGAAGAGTACGTCAGTTGAATAGTAGTTCTATTTGCCTGCATATTTTTCGGTATAAACTGCCCATGTGGCTGTGGTCTTATCTTATCACAAAGCTAGGTCCGCAGAATTCTCCATATGTAGAACCGGATGTGTTTATGTGGATTGATACATATGAACTTGTACTAAAAAATATATAACACATTTACCACACTTTAGAGTATCCTAAAATATTGATGATTTTCCATCTACTTGTACCGAATTGTGTTTAAATTTAACCTTATTTGCAACCTCAGTCTCTGGTTATTTGCGATAAAACCGGAAATGTGGTTGGCTAATTCCAATGCACGTAAATTTTACTCACATGCCTCTACTTCAGTTATATTCCAAGATTTATGCTAAGACAAATTTTGTCTTGTTGTGTGCGTGATGACCTTTGCCCTTCCAAGTATTTCTTTTCCGCCGGTTATTTGCCTGTTTGTATCGTCAGTTATTTGATGCCCGTGGTGATGAATAATACGCGGTCAATTCAGTAGTTTTTCAAATTCAAACGTTCCAAACACAACGGTAGGCAGGGTGGTTTGCGTGTTGTTTGATTAGATGTAATCGAACAAAGTTCAGTCAAATTTTATGGTTGCTTGTGGAACCCCAAATGTGTCCCTAAACAGCGCCATGTAGATGGCTCCATACTTGCCACCAGAATAAGGTAGGGAAGTTATTTTATTGCGGTGTAATCGTTTCCAACGACAACTTTCTATTTCAGTGTCTAATGCAAAGGAATATTACATACAGCATATAGGTAGTCGGGATTGAGGTGCCTGTTACACATGAGCGCAAAACATCCCGTAAACATGTTTTGTTTTTTTAGTTTGGTTTCTGTTGATAAGAAGTCGATATAAGATCACCGAAAGAAAAATTTTGAAAAGTATGCTATCAGATTACTACAGCAGAAATTTTGGCACCTAGGTTTATGAAGCAGCCGTTTCGGTGTGCATGAAAGATGAGGATCTGTCTAACCTCTTTGAAAAACAGCAAAGATACTCAATTTCCCGTGCTTAGCCATTGTTAGACTCCAGACATCGGAGTAGATTTTGCAAATGAATGATTATTCTCAAGTGACGGCTGTCCTTAAGCGATAGAAGTGATCCATTTGCAGAACTGCGACGCTGTCTATGAAACACATAGAAAACAGTACGTTTTTGCAAAATATATGCTCAAGTTGGAGACAATGTTTGAAATGGGCTTACTGTAAATCCAAGCAGACCCAAATTCTAACCAATAAGTACTTGTCGGTAGGACTGGTGTCTGCAAGATGTTTCCACACTCACTCTGGGGAATTATTCAGTAACTAAATTTATCGTACGAATTATTGCGTACGTATTAGACGAGCACAAATTTCTGCGGAAAAATCAGCGTAATAGGCTTAGATTGGCATTTTCTGTCTCCAGACAGAATATGCTAAAGCCCCATTTTCATACCTCTGTTTAATTGCAAACCAATACTAGCCTAAACAACTTTGTTCCCGTTATTGAAATTTACCAATCTGAAAATTGTTTGCATATATTTTAGACGCAACTTCAGCCAATAAGAATAGGGGGCTCAGCCAAAACAGTCGCTGAAGCACCCTATTTATTGTTAAGTTTCTGTGTGATTTTTTATTGCACTTTAATTTAATCAGTACACAAAGCATGGTGCACAAGCACACTTGAAACTGTGTTAGTCTGAATGCCTGTTTATCCGTTGCAGTGTCACTGCTCCATCGAGTCAACCAAGTAATTTCATTAGGACGTTATACAGGCAAAATGAAAGAAAACTAATAAAGATTACAGACTTTTGCTGAAATTTCAGGGAAGAAATATGTAAATTCTGAACTTGAATGTGATCAGAAAATTCACATCCAGTCCAGACAGCAACACTTGAGTCATGCTAAGGTTTCGAAGATTTTGAAGGACTCTTATGGATACACACGTCGTCATTGAGTAGGCACCTACCGGAATAAATTTGAGCTGGTCCGTTTTTTTAACGGAGTCCCAGCTTCACATTTCATTCTTCTTTGGTGGATGAAAACCCAGTGTTCTCAACCACGAGAACACACGTGTGGAAATTAGTGGTGACAAAGAAATTTAGTCAGATGGTGCAACAATTTGAAGGAAGCGCTTATTTAAGTGCTTGGTGTTTTAGTGAAGTCCTGTATATTTGGGTACTTCACCAACTTATTTCATTGTGAAAACACTGTTAGGTATACTGGTTGACTTGTTGTGTGTATACCATTGCGACAACCTAGCACTACTGTCACATCAGTTTACCTACGATATTTCTTCTGCAGGTGACGCCATTTGAAAGACTTTTTCATCCTCGATGTAACTTGGCCCCACAGTATTCATGTTTCGGCGTATATTGCTCTGAGTTTCCTGAAAGATGCACCTGTGAGGTAAGACCGAACAGTCCATTGCTGTTTCCCGGAGAAATGGAAAGCGTGGATTGTATGTCGGCCTCGTACAGTGATCATCAAAACACCCGTTATTCACGGGAGCTGTCACCGACATTTCTGAGGCGACCTTTGGATCCCATTTCACAGGTAGAACCCCTGCAGTTACTGTGTAATTCTTTATATTGGCCACTACCTTTACTTAGCTCCGACGCCAAAATATTTAGCATACGGCGTGACTAGCAAAAAATTTAACTGAACAACCGGCTTAGCCAGAATCAAGAAAACATACAAAGCAAACAAAATGAATAGCTAATTCACCAATTCACTTATTAGGTAGCTAATCGAGTAACCAACCAACTAATTTGTAACTATGCGAACAAACAGATTGACGACACAATAACTGGCCACCATTTTTTGCATTTAATCTCACTCAAACTAGTTAAGCTTCCAAACAAATAGTGTTCTGCCAGTGATATCAGATTTTTTAAAGTGATTGAGGTTCCTTCCTAATTCCACATGGATATTCTCCGGAGAATACTTGTCAGGCATTCTGTACGCTAAAATTTGGAACGGAGGCTAACTCACATACAATGAACAATCCAGTAGACCCTAAATTTCTTTGTACTCAATTTATTAACTAAGTTAATACTAACCAAGGCAAGTTAGCATCGTTAATACCTTCATCCACAACGTTTTAGAAGCTATCAATTGACACTGCATACTACTACAGTAGTCTTCTAAAAGATTTCGTAATCCTATGCTACAATCTGAGCTAATATCTGCCGGCGTTCCACGGAAAGGACAAAAGAAGATAGTTTGCGTGGTTACCAAAGACGTCTCATCATGTTAAGATCCGACAGCATAAATGCTGTTAGTCTTTGATGCCTGTTGCTGCTGGTCTTCTTTTGCCTATATTAGAGCTACACTACCCCTTTTGTATTACAGAGCTTTTTCAACCGCCCTATGGTTTACAGACCACCGAGTCAGTGCGACGCAATTAGTGACCGCCATGTGATTTACCCGTGTGAACGATACGGAACCAGGTCCGCCCGTTCGGTGGACGCCGTCAGCACGTACTGCAACGCAAGAGGACAAAGCGATAAACTTACTACCTACCAAGCGGACTACACCGGCGATCAATGGCAACGTGTAAGCTCCCACTGACTGACAATGAATGCTGACTGAAATGCCGAGGTAATCTGGGTGACATGTGAGCCCAGCGTAATTAGCTTTGCTATCTTACTTTTGGGTTGCCTTTCCCTTTCATGCTATCTGCGTGCCGTTCATAGCCTACACAAATCAACGATTTTGGATCGCACCATTATTAACTAAACGCATACGTGTAAAACGGTAACGGGTGTACGGCTCATCACCAATCAAGTGGATCTGTTAACTTTAGAATAAGCATTTGCAGTAAAATGGCATTCACTTGTGAAATTTAACCTTTACTGAAAACTCTTGGTGTGCAATACAGTCGGCTAGCGCGGGCTAACTGGTTAAAACATACACTAACTAGAACAGTCATGCAGTGGCTGATGATACCGATTGCGAAGAATAGAGTTTAGTGGTCGTTGACGATATTTTCTTTAAATTTAAAACAAAGTTCTTCCATTCTCACATAACTTAACATTCGTCCATTCTAAAACTGCTGCCTCTACCTTTGCAGATAAGTGGTTAATGGTTTCATAGAACCAGTGAATTCAGAGAACACGTTGGTTCTCAAAGAGTTTTGCTCAAGGAAATGTTTTCTAATAAATTAAGTCACATTACCATTTGCGTTACCGCCAGCGCATAGTATGCGCAACTTTTTGCAGCAGATTTTATATAGCTATTTAAACCATCGTTCATTTCCTTTGAAGTCCAAAACAATCAGCCACCTACACTGAGTTTGTGGAGATTAACTACGCGCATCTCAAAACTTAGTTTTACTACCCGTGGAGAGTACGTCGGTTTGTTAATGGCTGGTGATGGAAGGCTCGTTTAAAACGATAGTTTTCAGTTGGCCGCTGTTATCGTTCAACCACAAACGCTACGCGGTGTCAAGTAGCTGGTGTTTTACGTAGCAAGTGCGTTCATCGCTTGGCCTATCGGACGATCAACAACTGTGTGGAAACTTATTCTATGAGCATGCAACCCGCAAGACCGTTTGTGGATTAAACAGAACGTGTAGGAAGGCTACAATGATTAAAAGTAGTAATTTATAGGTCCGTATCCAGTCAGGGCATACTTCAGCCAACATACCGCAGCGTTTGACAGACAGACACATTTGATACCGTCTACTTGGCATACGAGTCTAATGTGAGCATCTCCAAAGAGCAGCTTTGCGGACATGGCAGCACCACGCCAGTATTATATCCAACTATGTACTAGTACCTGTTCGACTATGATGGAGATGAGGTGAAACTTTGGGTGGGTTTGAAAGTTGTGTTACTAGGCGAGGCTGATTCTTGTAGTCAGGTAACTTTCCATACTATTGTGGGAAATAACGATTCTTCGCGTGAGCCTGTCTTCAAAGTGTTTGATGTGCGTTTTCCTCCGAACACATTGTACAGTATCGTTTTTAAATACGGTGGCTAAATAAGCCATAGGTTTTTTGTGAGATTTATCTAATATATACTAATTTGGGTTTAATGTGGATGTTGTTGCATGAAAATCACATTTGTAGACAGACGTCTGCCTATTTGTGAATCGACCGGTAGCCTACAAGGCCTCAACTATAAACATCCTTCTAAATGTTCTCGGTCCATTACGAAATCTAGCATTTTATGTATGAGTAGCTAATTTCTTTATGTCGGTCATCTTGGTGGGGCGTTGTCATTACAAACTTATTTCTCTATGGCAAGCCTATTATAGCCAAACGATATGGAAAATTTTGTATCTTAAGGACGGTGTGCATTGGAAGCTAGGCTTTTGTTTGTCTAAAAGACCTTATTTCAGTAACTTTAGGCAATAAAATATATGAAATGCACAAATATGTCATACTTGCCTTAATGAAAGTGAAATTGCTTATTTTCGCAGATGTTATTCAAGACTCAGACAATCTGAGTTATCAGAATCACCGTAATCCCAAGACTCATGCCTTTTGTGTAGATACAACGTAAAACAGGTGTTGCCGTACATTAAACCAACAGGTCTATTGCACAGTACTCATCAAGGTATATAAAACATTTACAATTCCCAAACAACATTGGTTTAGATAAGTTTTGTTCATTGACTTTGCTAGCTCAAACATACTCACTACAATGATTTGCGGATTTATTCCGGCTTACCAATATAGTGCTCACTTAGGAGACGGCTGTACTTCTTTGAAAACACAGGGATATCATTGTTTCTGGGATTGTGAAATTCTGATTATCTCGATGACTAGCTTGATTGAATAAAAGTATGGCCCTGCAGTAGTATCGGCGTAGCATAGTAGATGTCGTCATTCAGCTTGGCAGAATGCCAGCTGGCACGCAAATGTAGATTTACCAGTGTAGATGGCGTGGCCAAACACAAAATTTGTCGATCAGCAGCTGATATAAAATAGGTTGTTCTGTTCTGGCAACTTACATTTTACCAGCCACGTCTGTAGCAAGTCTATGTTGATGTGTGCCAACATGACTCAAATGGTTAGAGCGCGAATTTACTGACCGGAAGGTCCGTGGTTCAAACCCGACCTCTGCCTCTCAACTTCCCCTGTCTATGCTTAGGCAACCTAGCAGTATCCCAGCCCTTCTGCTTCCCTTGGGTGGCATGAAAGCTAGGCACCGAAAGGATGTTACAGCTAAACAGTAGTTTAATGTGTGCGGCAGGTGAGAAGTAACCACTTGTCCCGAAAAAGATTTGTTCTATAGAACCATCGCGTGCTTGTCCAAATTTCCCTTCAGAAAGTGGCATTATGCCATCTGGTTGTTGGCATCTGGTTTACGTATCTATAAGTTCCTTCAACTGCTTTTTGATTCAGTTTGGATTATTAGTAATACCCACAGCGCAATACGGCTGCTAAGTCCTCACTATCAGCAGTGCATCACACTAAAGTTGCCGGACGTGTGTTATTAGCAGCAAAGCGTATAAACGCTTTTTGATTGAGAGAAAAAGCAAAAACACACTAAAACAGTAAATGGAGCAGTCAAGCGGATTCAAATGGTAGATAGTCAGTCAACTTTGTAAATTTTCTCTGTGGGTTTTGCCGTGGGCATTACGCTCGGTTTACATTGTCCTACACAAAGGTTGCCAATCTACACAGTATATATCCGTTGAATACATTTTTCAAACAGATTCAGAGACCCCCTGAGGCAGTCTGTTCACAATGGGCCTCTCCCAGTCTCGCCGTGCAATCTTTCTCAGTTATCTCACAGCCTAACAGAGCACCATCTTCCTGCAGAGGGTCATCGCGAAACAGAAGTTTTGCTGACTATTGGCCGTCAATTGTACGGAGAAAATACGAAGGGGTTCTCAATCAACCACTCTACGATACAGATATACTCTGTATAAGGCATGAAGTGAGCTACTATTCCAGTAAAATCAAAACGATATCTGCTTTACTTTTTCTGCATATTTATTGGTTTATATCAAACATGATGACGTGCAACCACGGCAACCGCTCCTCTGACCTGAGGCAGTTTGTAGATCCTACCAATTGATGTGTCCTCCGGTAATTTCCTAAATATGCATGTAATATCGTGTCCATGACCTACTGATTGGTTATACAAGGCAATAATTTATTTCTCACGATTTTTCCAATCGTTGCATTTGAGTGCCCGATTTTTCTGAAATCTGTCCGAACTCTCCATTTGTACTGAAATGTTATCCAAATGCACTGAATGCGTAGATCACCTGTATGCAGGGTGGTATGTGAGATAAATCGTCGTTTGAAGCCCGTAGACCGGACTAGTACGCCAAACGTTTGAAGGTGGTCAAATTTGGGGGCTAGTAAACAACAGCTAATCCGTTCATTAGATCTGCCTCTGTCCAGAAACTCTGACAACTTTTTATGCTGCCTTACACGGACATTCCTCACGTTATTCACCCGGAAGAAATGAACTCTCTAAGTGTCCCACAGAACGTCCTCAACTAATTTACTCTGTACGGAGGTCTTCTGTGTTTACCTTCTTCCATCTAATTCATTCCACGTAAGGTCACAAAATTTCGGACATCCCCGGTCTTAAATGTGCAGCCCCATGGATGTTTAAACAACGACATAAGAACAAGCACCAACAAATATTTGATTATCCAAGGTTTTTTCAATGAGTATAGAGTTGTCAGATATCGCCCACTGCAAATGAATTCTTAGGGTTAACCAAAGGTGGAAAATTTCTCAAACAACCTGTTTCTTCTCAAACAGAGCAACTGATTCGTGTTGCTTTTGCTCCATGCGAATTGAGACTCAGCTTGACCTCTTCACCACCTCCAACACTAATGACTTAATAAACCTTCATAAATCTTTGAAACAGGTCACTGTGTGGATTCAGGGGGAAGGCACACATAGGGAAGTTCCCTTTGCATTATTCACAAAAATACAGCAGAGTCCGGTATGCATGTTCAAGTTGTTTATCAATGTCGGAGCAACATGACCACACCAGCCACCTTCTCTGCTCCACTTTTATTTTGAGCTGTATTTTTTCTGCAGCCAGTAATTTGCCAGGCAATACAAAGTGTCCACCCGTCACCCTGTTCGTCTTCCTGGCATCGAGAGATCCGGCAGATAGTGCATGTGCCTTGTGTTGAGAGAAGCACGTGTCGGACATTGGCACACTACCTTCCTCCAACCCTGGTAGAACCCTGGCTAGACGATTCTCGGGTGAGTTCTATGCCGTCATTTCACTCACAGTTGAATCGGGTGTCATGTGGCTTCCTGTAGGTGTAAAAGTATTTTCGGCATGGATTGTTGCAGCAAATAACTGAAAAATAAATCACTCAAAACTTCCGGCTTTTTTCGATTACCTGATTCCGTGATTGATGGTGCAAAGTGAATCAGCTACATTTTAGAAGATCGACTTTCTGCGCACAAATGCGGTATAGCAGAGGGAATCTACGATTCAAATGTGTCATATGGTGAGAATGATGTTAACAAAAATTGAAAGACAAGTTTTTTTGTTAGGATTTTATTTTCTTGTCTGCCACATAACATTTTTGCCATCGAATTTTTTGGGATTGGCTCTGCAGATTAGACTCGGTCAGATCTTTCGTGTCCCAGAGCGGTGTGCAAACCTCGCTAGAATTTAATGCCTCCCATACAGCACTTTCTTTGCTGGTCAGGCATCAGAACTTACAGAATGCTATCAGCCCCTCACTCCGTTGCCTAGTCATCTCAAACCGTCATCAGCTCCACACGTCCGGTTGGGCCTGCTGCAATACTCAAGAGAGCAAGCAAACCCTTCATTTATCTTTCAGGATCTTGAAGATAACCTTTTGTTGTAATGATATGTTTTTTAGGAGTCACTATTGTAACGGGGCACTAGGCAAAGTGTGCTAAGTACACTAGGGTAAACCGAAGAAATACCATCATAACTCCAGGCTAACATACCCAGCGCTGGAGTTCATGTTTTTCAGGAGGGTTGTGTTTCCCAAAACCACTGTAAATAGCTTTGCAAACTCTGTCACTCGTTTTAATAGGACTTTTGGATATTGAACGCAAATGACAGTATTTTTTTAGACAATGGTCTGCAGCACGATGATCGGTGATGTGGTACTCCGTCAAACCAACTGGTGTGAAAGCATACTTCACTGGCAATTCACCAACTGGAAGACAGTGTATGTATGTCTTGGCTGCATTTTAACAAGAACCTCAAGTAGAATTGCCACTTAAGGCGCTAGAAACAATTAGTCCTTTCAAATGGCCTGATTTTATCATGATCACAGTTGGATGAGTCTGCATATGAAAAACTGTACCGTCCCACCAATAGAACCCTGTACTTTTACTTGATGTGATACGCTAATTATTCCAATTAAACTGCAAAACAGTTTCATCACTTCATTTTGTGGTTTCAGTTAGCACTAAAAGGGGAGAGAAGAGGAAAAGACCTGCGCACGTACATGGTGTCACCGCTCGATAATTCTTGCACAGCCTCGGTGAGGCAGTGCGCTGATGGCAGTTTCGTCGTAAACGACACCTTGGCAGTAAGTTTTTCCGTCTGAATTTACAGTCATTACTAACAAAAAATAACTTCATTGGTTGAATTTTTATTTTCTGAACCAGCAACGAGTTCAGACGTAGCAAGTTAACTGGTTAATTGTTTGAATTTATTTACGAAGCTCCAAAACATTGCGTTTTGTGCATCCTTAGTTGTACCCGATTTCGGGCAAACGTACATCTATTGTTCTCAGTTCAAGGTGTGCCAGAGGTTGCTTTCAGATGGGCCTCACAAACGCGAACGATTGATATTTTTCTCACAATTCCTTCATGATAAACAAAAAACCACTCTTTAGGAGCCATCACTATGCAAAATTTGTTAACTCCTTATATCAGATGACCTTAGTTGGAATCCAACCACTAATCCAACAGTTTTATCCCGCGAAACTTAACCAAATATTGCATTTGTTTTTGCAGCGGTTTGGATAAGGCTTTTGAAAACTCACTTTTAAAATTAAAATGTGTCTGTTTGTCTCAAACTTTTGCAAGTAGTCCACTACTGGATTAGTCCTTCGAGGTCCTAGATATCGAACTCTGGGGAATCGATCAAGCATTCAGCTGAGTTTTCACCTACCATCAAACTAATTTCAAAGTGTTACTTGCTGATCATGCACAATTTGGTGTTTAGCGAGAATACAATTTTTCTGGAAATTAGCGGGCTACAAGCTCATGTTTGGCATCAAAAAGAGCAAAACCAGTAGTGATCCGTCGACGAATTTTCGGAAACTTATCGGTAATTTCTCCTTCTAAGACAGTCCATTGAAATATTTCTAATGGTGTTCCATCGGAAATATGATGAGTATGTGTGCAGCAAATCATTTGGGTCCGTTGCATTTTAGTATCTTGCAAATATTGCACCGTTTGCAAACGAGTGTAGTTAGTCAGTCAGATATGACCTATTTGTGATGATGAAATTAGAACACCGTCAATTACAGTCTTAGCCATCAAAAGCGTAAGGAAATCCTTTCGAATTGAGCACTTGAACACCTCATTGCTACGGATTCACAAGGAGCTTGACCATCAGAATTTTATGGAAAATATAATCAACCAACCAATGAAGAAAATTTCGTCTATTCTTCTGGAAAATTGCCAGTGATGGTAAAAATTAATACCCATCAACTTTTTGTCACTGAACTAAGTAAAACACGAGACGAAAACCGCTGTCCGTTTACAAATAAAAACACTTAGTTAAGGAGAATAATAAAATCCGTGTATTTTGGATTCAAGTACATGCTAATAGAGTCCTGTATTTAGAAGGGCGATAATAGGCGTTCACGTACAAACATAAAATGTTAGGGATTGCACGTAAACTATGGACAGATCCTAAAATAATTTAGTCTAATTCTGGGAAACCCGATCCTAGGATACATCGGTTAGAAATTTTTAGGCAATCCATTTTTGTGGGTGCATGCGGTCCAACCCGGGTGCTATCATTGTGTATCATACACAGACATAAACCTCAGACCACGTTGACAGTATGCTTGAAATGCCATCCGACAATTTTGAACCACTTAGTTTCGTAATAGTTCACACATCAGTTCCCAGTATCTAGGCAAACTATCCTCAGTTGGACATGATTCAAAGATAATCAAACGACGTGGCACTTATAAGAGCTTTTGTTTCGCTTCCAAAGCCGAATTTCAGCCAGTACGTTGGGCCGATTCCATCGACCCCAATTGAACGACCGAGCATGATGGCTATTTGTTTACAACAGCGTGAACATGATCGTCAAGCGGCAACGGTCACATGTGGGAACTCACAAACATTCGGCGTTTGCGTGAGTTTTACGATTGTTTTGTTAGTTCAATATAATCCAGACTCCAATGACTCACATTGATGTGCAAGGAGTAGACATCCACTGATTGAAATTCCGTACTCAAAAACGGCGTTGTTTGACACCATTAAGATATCCGCAAATTGTGGAGTTGACATGCCGACCAGATAAGATTTATTAATTAGGGACATCAACCATCTTTACCTGGATCGCAAATCGACAGCACTTTTGTCCACTTATCTCGCAAAATCAAGCAACCGCAATTAAACGAGGAACACCTATCGTCTTCCGTTTCATTTTTCATCTCACAATAAGGCTTTAAAATAAGTTATGTTTGGAAGACAAGGATATATTGGTGCTCGACACTAATGTTATGTTGTATGAGATCATAACGAATTATCAGATCAAGTGAAAGTGTCATGGCCACCAGTTGCTCCCCATCTGGAGTCCACAGCTGAAGTAAAACCCTGGACGGTGAACGTGGAACTGCCAACGGTCTCGGAGTTCTATGACTGCCTACGTCCACTCAATCGCCACCGAGCTTCTGATCCGGATGACGTCCCACCCGCATTGCTCAAAGACGGGGATGCACTCCTCAGTCAGAGTCTGTCTGATCTGTTTGCTTGCATTTATGAGAAGGGATCTACCCTAGACAACTGAAGAGAGTCGGTGACAGTGCTCACTTACAAAAACGGGGCCCGTAATGAGTGTGATAACCAGAGGGGATGAGCTTGATCCCGGTAGTAACGATACTGTCAGTTTCCCTTCCAGTCAGAGTCTGTCTGATCTGTTTGCTTGCATTTATGAGAAGGGATCTACCCTAGACAACTGAAGAGAGTCGGTGACAGTGCTCACTTACAAAAACGGGGCCCGTAATGAGTGTGATAACCAGAGGGGATGAGCTTGATCCCGGTAGTAACGATACTGTCAGTTTCGCTTCGTCACTTGTGCTTTGTCGCCTTACGGTGACTCGTGGGACACTGACTCAAGAGCAGCAAGCAGGACCACAGCATGGTAGGGGTTGCGATGACCAAATTCTCACATTCCATCAGGTGCTAGAAAAATGCCATACGCATGAGCGATTCACAATACCGGTATTCCTGGATTTCCAAGGTGCAATCGATTCGATCGACCTGTCTGTTCTGCTTGACACTCTTACCCACCAGGGAATGCCCCAAAAGCTTTTGAACATAATAGAATATTTGTACTCTCAGACTTCCGGGCGTGTGAGAGCATGCAGAGAGCTCTCCAAAAGCTTTCGTACTGAAATTGGTGTCCGTCATGGATGTTAACCTCTGACCTAATCCTGTTTAACTTTGTGATCAGCGAAATCATGAGACGAACAGCTGAAGGTTTCCAAAATCCCGGTTTTCACATACCCTGGGGCAAAATCCTTGTCTATCTGGAATACGCAGACGATATAGTTCGCCTCTTCGAAGAGGAGGAGAAGGCGCAAGTGTTTTTTTGGATGAACTGACCAAAGTTATCCTGTTATTTGGTATACACTTTGCACCCAAAATGTGTAAGGTCATGCTCGTAGATATGCAGTTACTGAGCACGCGACTTACAATCCAGGGAGAGGCACTGATAGTTGTGGAGAGTCGCACGTATCTTGGAAGTTGTATCAAGCTACAGTGCGGAAAGTTTTGTCGTATGGCTATGAAAATTGGCCTGTTTGAGCAGCGGAACTAAGACGTCCCCCGTTTTTGATAATCGTTGTTCGTGTGGGTTGGTGTCGGAGTATCCGTAACGAGGCAATTGGGAAGCTAGTTTCTGGTTATGCAACGGGTACTTCCATTGAAGAATGTGTCCAGCACCAGAAGTTGCTTTGGCTGGGGCATGTGTTGCGTATGCCTAACCATCGTTTACCTAAGACAGTGCTGTTTCCCATGCCCAATTCAGAGTGACCAACCCTTGTCCTGGCAGAGGGATCTGAAAGAAATCACGAAATGTTTGGGTGCTGTCGGTGCCACTCGCCTTCCAGGATGGGGATGGAAGGATTCCCACTGCGCCCGGTTGGAGACGGTGACTGATACGCCTGCCAATCGATGTCAGTTGCGTTCTTGTTGTTAGGTTCTGTCCAGATTGACTGAGTGTTTGTACGTGTAGGCACCTCAGAATGATTGTAGTGAGCTAGCTCTAGGTCCTCTCCCAGTTCATCTTTATTCTTTTCTTCACAATATGGCTTCCAAGTAAATCATGGTTGTACGGCAGTGGAGCATCGGTGTTGAACACTGTCATGTTGTCAATGATGATGATGCCCTGACTTCTTCGAAGATTTTTCAATTCCAGGATAATTGTCGTTTGCTTTACTTATGTGTTTTACTTTCCGAATCCCTGTATAGATTGACCCTACAATGGTGCAAATGGGCTTATCGTATTTTCTTACTTTCAGGCGGGTCTGACTCGGCCACTGTGTGCGCGCAGACTGCCGAGAGTAAGTTTGCCAATTCCGTCTAAAAACTGCGCCTGTGCTCTCCATTCTCTGGCAAGCCAGTTAGGGCAAACGCCCATATATACTGAGTATCTAAAGACTGCTGTTTTTTGGTCTTTAAGCTGCTTAGATTTAGTGCATGGATATAGCTATTTTCTAGAGCAGACTGACACCTACAGCAAAATTTGCAAATTCGGTACAAGTGGTGACGGATTAGGGGGCTTGTCTCAAAACTCCAGACTGCACAGGAGACATGTGCTTGTAACGGACGGCTTTGTATATACTTGCTTTCCTGTCAGACAAACAGCTATATCAGATAGGCGCAAACAAAGCTATAACGACACGACTGGAAAACTATTACCAAGTGGTACAGCATGGCTCAACAGAAGAATCCGTCCAGCAATAGAAGATCCATTGGCTTGGTACATTGGATTTTCAAGCAATCGTATGTCCAAAAGAGTGCTGATTTGCAACCGTGGTTTACAATGGCTCATACGTCGGGCTGATCATCCTCTGATGTAACGGAATAGTGGACCATCGGCTAATGGAAACCGGGTGCAAACAAAGCTACACGTCTTCCAGATCAAATGTGGTGCTGCCTCTGATTTGAGATTGAGGAAATAAGGAAGCTGACAGAGCCTGTTACAGCTGTCACCGGCCATTATCCAACCGCAAAAGTAATGGCATAAAAACAGATGCTCGTCAGTCATTACCTAATTTTTGTTGAAACACCGGCGGCATTTGTCATTTACTTCAGGTTCCAGTAGAGTACCGTGGAAACATTACCGAGAATTGCCTGCTAACGCATCATCAGGAGGTTACTGAAAAACCTAACGGCATTTCACCAGCCCTGTATTAAGCCATGCTATCATCATTAAGATGACAAAGTTGGGTGGACAGTCACTAAAAAGTCAAAGTGCTCGCCCATGTTCCAGGTGGTTACGCTTATCAGACGAAATGGTAAATAGGTTGGAGACACAATGCTGATCCTACTAAGATATTTGTGTACGCCACTTTTCTTTATCCACGATCACAATGCAAATCAAACATCACGACTTGATAGGAATGACGGAAACTCTTACTCAGAACACCTTGTTTAAAAGTGAGGTTTGAAACCTACACCACCGAAGTCCCGCTATTGATTCAGACTTTAAGTGTGCTTCAGAAACTCCCATTCTGCGTCATGCGAAGACGGTACTTGACGTATCAAGCACTAAAACGGTGTGTTGAGTTGAACGAAAGCAAACCACTTCGTAAAGACTGAGACACTTCAGGGTGGTCTTATTCTGATAACATCATGTTTAATCCTGCTAGTGGTTTGATAAAAGCTTCGGGACGTTCGCCTACCGACGTTATTCCTCCGCATTCATATCAAAATTAAGGGCTTGAATACAGCACAATATTTAGGATCCGCAAAAGCCATCTGTGTCTTTCTTTATACGCATAAGCGTCCAGTGTTTTTTCACTGTTGTTCAGCACAGCTAAGTCATATACCTGTCGTTCACTTTAACATGAATTCTTGATATTATTTTTCTAGTCTAAATTCATGATCATTGGCTCCTTAGCTCAACTTTCACAGATCCTTGTATACCGACTGTTGCATCTGGCCTACGTACAATCGTTTTTTGTTCATTTTGCTGCTCATTTTATGTACGTTTGTCTGCCAGATCTGTATCGGCTGTCAACCGACTGTGGTTCCTGTGGGCTACCAAGCACCTTCCTAACTTTCTTGTGATGATTTCATCATTTTCAGCTACTTGGCTGTGCTCCTCCTACAGAGGTCATGATACCGGCCGTTCCTACTCATGAGGTTACGCGTGCACGGTTATTCGGCCCGATTTTTCCGGACGATTTATGTGGCCCGGATGTTGTGATAGAAGAAATTGTGTGCAGGTACCCAATACAACCGTGGATAAGGTCTTTGGATATCAGAATTAATTCTCCAATTGATGCCTTTTTTATACCAGCATGCTTCCAGTCGCCACCTGAAATCTGCCTTTGCCGATCACATTGCATTCCAACGATAACAGCGATTTGTGAGGATAATTCAACTTGGGTAAGTTAAGAGGTTAATTTTTGGCGTATTCAACACTTTTCTTTATACAAACGAGATGCAATATTTTGAGTCCAACTGAAAATCATCAAACTAATTCTTTTTCACTTGCTCTGAGTCTGCTACTACAGACCCTTTTGATAAATAACGATGCTTAACCAGGTGGACTAGTGAACTAATGCATTTAAATATGTGAACCTGTAATTCCAACCTGACTGCAAGCCACGTTTTGTTAACGAGATGGTCAAAAGTCACCGTTGGCTACCGCTACTTCCAAAAATTTTAATTTCGAATGCAAACCGAAAATTAGACATCAGAATAAATCATGTTTTATCGATTTATTCTATAGTGAGCTGAAAACAGATTTCATACAAGTTTAACACTATCGTAGGTAACACCTAAATTTAAAATCGCCAAACTCATCTAGACTTGGAAAGTAAAAACAGAATGGTTCTTTTGCTGAACGTCTACCAAAAATTGACGCGTTAAACGGACAGCATAACTGAGCTAGACCACTTGTAAGACATATACAAAATCCTTTGAGAAGTTGATCCTTTGTACTGCTGGGTCAGGAAAAAACGTTTTGTGGTGGATTGAGTACAGGTTATTTATAATACATGTGATTGGCAATTCGAAATATAGAGGGTATTACGAAATTATTCCTGTATGTCATCAGGCCTCAATTTTCCAAAATCTCCAAGTGCGATTCTTTGTAGGTTTATTGTGGACAGCGAAACAAGAGACCATATTTTGCCCACAAATGATCTCACAGTAGTTACCAACTGAGTATCAGTTTCCGTACTTTGTTTAAGTTGCTTGTGATCATGACACCGATGAGATATAATGCCAGATCCACTAGCCCATTGAATGCTCGTATTCTAACCACAATTTAACTGCACTAGGGCATAAGAGATGCGGCCCTATCAACTTCGATTAGCTCGAGAAGTCAGTATAATTCTGTCCTCTCACAGGTTTACTGCTTAACACATGGGGATTCAGCTGACTGCGAAGTGTCTGGGAGAAAACGTTAACGCACTAGAGCAGCGAACAAGTCTTATTTTGCTTAGGTAGTCTGGACGCAAAGTTCATCAAGGAAGCGTTGTTTTTCATTTGAGTTCTTCTGGAGTGCAGGCCCTATTAGTGGAAATTGAAATGAAGCTGACAGCGAATAAATTAGAGCTGTGGAGTTTTTGCACTTCCCCCGTTGAGGCCAACTTGTTTTTTATGCGAGTGATTCTAAAACCTGTTCGCATTACCGCTATGCAGTTTTTGGAAAATGGGTATAACGTGATGTTGTGATAAGAGAACGTAACCAGCAAAACAATCCAAGGTAGTTTGGAAAAAGAAGCCGCTCCATTGATTGTCGCCATCCAAAACTGAATAGAATGAACCGATGTTTCCCAATTGTCTCACATTGTGAATAATTTCATTTGCACCGCGAAAAGCAGAAAACGAAACTAGAGACTGCTGCAATAGACGTGGGCTAACTCGTTAAATATTTGTCAGATTAACAATTCTAATTGGCAGGAGATTTTCCAGCAGGTTCACGTGTTTTGTCAACAAATGGAAATTAATGGTGTTATTATGAGTACCTCTTAGAAACAAAGCGGATCAGATGTATGAGTACAGTACTTTTCGCATTCATTTCACTTCAGCTTGTTCGGATCAATACTCATTCGGCCCATGAGCTGACGGCCTAGTGTGCGTCCACTGATTTTGCGGTAAAATCTATATCACCCGGATAGATTTTCATTCTTTTAGACTGGATGGTAATGGCCTTGTCCACTTTGCGGTCAAAGCAGTAGAAACCGTGAACATGAGACACCCCATGTTGTAGAAACTTTGAGGCCTCCAGGAAGAACATCGCTTTCTCCGCATGCCGTTTCACACTTGCCCTGTCCTGCTATCTAATCTCGTAGATGGTTGGGTTCGGCCTCTGTATAGCTGGAGGAAGTTTTGGCGAAAATATCGGGATATGACTGGCATAGCAGAAGTCGTAATGCCATGGACCGGTTCATCCCGTCTCATTAATGTGCTCTCAGTTATTCTGCTGCCAATGCTTATAGGTCTGGCGATCAATGAGTTGAAGGTAAAACTGGGATACTATTCATTTATAGAGCAAGCCGCTATACAGAATACGCACATTGCTCTATACTTACTGACATGCTTCCTAATGACTCGCGAATTAAAAAATGCGACAAATTAGTTGGAATTATTACAGATGCATGTTTTTGAAAACAAACGGCTTTCAAGTGAGCTGTGGCTAAACACACTGGCTGTTTTGCTGCGTTCAGGTACTCACATGGAATGCCTATTTGAGTGAGTGGGGTATGGTACAACTTGCTTTTCTTGCGAATATCCCTTTATTAAGCTTTTTTCTGAATACACGTGATACTTTTACTTTCCCAACGCGTCTTCTTTTTAGAGACATTTTACGACCGAGAAAACGCAATCATCCCGCGGGTCAGTATCCGCAGCCAAACCAAGTGAAAATGCCAACATCAGTATCCGTCCTGCACAGAAAATTCTGGAATCCACGAGTTTGGTCCGCTTTCCTCCAAGTGTATCACCGGAAGTGCCAAGGCGTAAGCCCTCCGGGAAGACTGAATCAAAAACGGTGCGTAGGGATTTTCGTCAGTACTGACCTAACGTTTGTCAAATGGTATTTATAAAAATCCGCTTGACTGTATTCACTTTACAATAGCAGTTTTACCCATAAACGATGTGCTTAAAAAATAAAAAAGAACACAAAAACGGTGCGTAGGGATTTTCGTCAGTTCTGACCTAACGTTTGTCGAATGGTATTTATAAAAATCCGCTTGATTGTGTTCACTTTACAATAGCACTTTTACCCATAAACGATGTGCTTGGAAAATAAAAAAGAACGAAGGTTTCTGCATAAAACATCCCTGGGTACCCAGGCACCACATACTCATTCCCCTAATGAGGAATTTTGTCTAGCGTTTATTATGGTAGGATTATAATTCAATATCGTTTTCTGGAAAGCCCTCTTTTTTTCAGCTGTTCGATGACACCATGTTCAGGCAAACTTTTTTATGCACTTTGGCTTTCATTCGACTTTTTGTTTCAATACTGAAAGGATACAGTATAAAACCATTATCAAGAGGTTTTCTAAAAAATCTTCATGTTAATAAACTTGCTGACCTTGAATCTTTTTGTCACAGTTCAGATTGAGCAGGAACTTCATCTACTCACCTTCTGAAATGGCAAAGGTGCTGTCCGTTTGCTCTGACACGATATGCACATTCACTGCACATATTACTCAGATCTCAGGATAAGCTCTGATACATAGACGCCAAAACCACAACAGCTGGAGTCGACTGGATCACTTATTTTGCACCATATTTCTCTAGAAGAATGATGATCCAGCTTGAAACGTTTCCTGACCTCGTGCGCATCAAATAAATGTTGATCATGCTAGCCAAATTTTTTTAAAGTCATCAGATTGCGGGTTTTTTTGTGGGACAAAGTGCACCGGAATGATTGTTCAGTAGTCAACTTCACACACAAAAAATAACTGGCGAGTTCCTTGTCCATATTTCAAATTTAGTAGCAAAGGTAATTCAAAACACCTTGGTTTGTAACCACAATATGAAGTGGCACGCCTAGTAGGTGACTTGCTATATGTTCATTAAATGGTATGAGGTCAGGAACTCACAAAGTGGGTTATGTGAATTGAAATTGCATGTGAAACTCGTGAAAAAAATTCAGTGAAAAAAGTGTCAAAGCAACCCTTATGACGAACTACAACAGGGGGTTCTTCAAACTATCATTTGAACATAACCGCTGCTTGGCTTTTCGAAGTCACCATGAGCCCTATACGGACCGTGGATAAGTCGTTTAAGCGCCCAGACACGGCTCAAACTGCTGTGCATCCATGTGCTTGGGATATTTTCCCGTGGCTTCTTGCCACTAGGATGAGACTACGTGCAATCCTTAAGTTCGAAGTGGTGTTTTTCAGAGTACGTCGAAATCAAGGGCTGACAGCTGAACACGTGAGTCTATCTCAAGCCATCGTCCTCTTTGATGAAGATTCCTGCTGCGTATTGTGTCAGCCTTCGTTTAATGCTGCTATTTCGCTAAAAGCAAAACTTTATTTAAGAATCATGTCTTTTCAGTCACACTCGATGTACCGAATTATTTTTCGCTTGATATGACACAGGAAAAAGTATCCGTTCCTGTTGGGCATTTCTGTAAACTTTAACCTCTTTAGAAATGCCAACCAATCGGGACCAGAGTATTTTATGTTTTATTCAATCTTTTCCGGATTTCCTCCATGGTTTGCACTTAGAGTGAACAGTGCATGGTGGTCATGGCCTTCAAGTATCCAAACGTTACCCTCAAAGAGCCAGTCAGTACGAAGCCACGCGATGTGGTTTCCGTGACCAAAGGATGACAGGTGCTTGTCCTGTGTAAGGGCAGGCTGATCACACTATTACGCGGTTGCTCGTGACATAATGCCTAAGTGTATAAAATGCCAGCATTGAGGAGCCCCCTGTAATTTCGTGGTGCCTCCCCATAAGTATGAAAAAAAGTGCAGTGATTGTTGACTCTTCAGCATAGACTGCCTTCACCTACAAGATTACATTTCAATTGAAAATTCACTCTACTTGTAACAACTAACAACTACCTGGCTTTTGTTTCACGGTTTTAGTAACAAAAGCCCATTCTAAAACTCTATTTGAAATTCCTTCTAAATGATTTGAGTAACAAAGTGGTTTCTACCTCTTAGGCAAACTGTATAGCTAACAATAGTTTGCCGTTTTAAGCTGTATCCGTGGGAATTAAAAGGACGTCATATTGCCCGAGCACAACTTTCAGATTTTTTCAATGGTACTGGATGACGTGTTTACCTTGCTGTTGACCAAGCCTTTCTCCTTCGGTTTATTGTTTACGATGTTTGTAATGCACTTGAGCAACGTTTTTCAGTACTGGTTGTGTATTGGTGTCCAAAAAGAGGTGTAAGAATCAACCGTTACCAAGTAAGCGTGTCAGTAAATCATGTCTTTCTCAACTGAAAAACTAACCGGTCAATCTGACTGATCACCATACTTACGGGGCTCTCAGAGATCAATCCTTTCAACTTTCTTAAATCATAAAGGGATGTGAGAATTGTGACAGTGTTCTTTGTCACGGCGCATTAGTTGACAATTATAAAGTCCAGATATTTCAGCTAACAGAAGCTTATCTGTGGTCGCTTGAAATAATTCTTAGAGAAAGCTACTCAGAAGGATATAAATCAGTGCAGTCTAAGGTAAATTTAGATCTGTGTACGCACTGGTTAGGTATTGCAACCCACCACTATAATACCGGGCTTTACTGTGTCTGCGATATGCAGATATTTCAACCTTTTCAACGACAGCGTGGTTGGTAAGGAGCAGTGTGGGTAATTGATCAGGTGGCTGTTGATCTGTTCGCCGAGCTTGGCAATTGATTTGCAAACGTTTCGTCACCATTCGAAGAGACATCTTCAGTGCGCTGTTGGTTGGGTAGTTCCTCTCTTCGTGCCTGCGTTTATATAGTCTACAAAGAGCAGCCTTTGCGCTGTAACCTGGATTCTGATTGGCCCGTTCTTGATCTGTATTGCGTCGTGGTCGGCTTATCTGTTGGTTTGTGGCGTGCCTCCTATTTTTAGTAGCCTGCTGTTCTATTGATTTCTTCTTTGAGTCCTTGTCCGGCCTCGGGTTCTGTGGTTCTGGATTTCCTTTGTCCTCAGAGGCTGGTAGGCAGGATCAATGTCAATGTGCCTGTTTATTGCTCCACCAGTGGAGTACCACGCCTCCATGAACTCGCGTTCTTTCTTTGTTCTTGCTTGGCCCAGTATTCTGACGTTATTCCAATCGAAATGGTGTCCTTCCCCATCTTCGTGTGCAGAGATGAGAGAGAGTTGGTCATGTCTCTTGGTGGCGAGCTTATGTTCGGTGATTCTGGTTGACAGTTTCCTCCCTGTTTGTCCCACGTAGTGTTTTTCACAATCATTGCATTGAATTTTGTAGATTACATTTGTCTTTTCCATTGCATTAAGTGTCCCCTTTGGTTTTGATAGTACTCTTCGCAGCGTGTCAGTCGGTCTGTGGGCCACTTTTATGGCATGCTGTTGTAATATCCTGGCGGTCATCTCCGAAATGTTTTTGATATATGGTAATGTGATTGTTTTGCTTGTGTTTCTGGTTGTCGCGTTGGTTGAATTGCATTTTCTCAGAGATCTCCAGACGAAATTCCTTGGGTAACCGTTCCTTTGAAAGATTCTGTATAGGCGTTTCTCTTCTTTTACTTTAGATTCTACTGTGTTGCAGTGTGTTTCAATTCGCTTGAATAGTGTCCGGATGCAGCTCTCTTTGTGGCAGTTTGGGTGGTTGCTGTGGTAGCTCAGAATTTGATCCGTGTGCGTAGCTTTTCTGTAGACTTCCGTTTGCATTTGTCCGTTCGGCAACCTTGTGACGAGGACATCTAAAACCGCCAGCTTGTTGTTGTTTTCTTCTTCCATCGTGAACTTGATGTCATCGGAGACACTGTTTATCAATTGGATTGCTCGTTGTAGTTCTCTCTTCTTGATGATGACAAAAGTGTCGTCTACATAACGTACCCAAAGCTTCGGGTTGATGTCCGGCAACACGGTCCTCTCCAGTTTTTGCATTGCGATCTCGGCGATGAACCCTGAAATTGGGGAACCCATTGGTGCTCCTTTCAATTGTTCGTAGTATTCACCGTTGAATTCGAAGTACGTGGTCAAACAGAGGCTGAGCAATTCACATATGTCTTCCTTCCTTAGAGGTCCACTGGGAGGTCCATGACTGTCCAGTAGTTCAGCGACTGTTGTCTTTGCGGAATGTAGGTCCACTGATGTGAACAGTGAGCTGACATCAAATGAGACCATTGTTTCGCCCTCTTCTATTGTCACATACTTTAGTTTATCCAAGAACTGTTGTGCGTTTTTGATTGAGTGTTGCGATTCATTGATGAAATACTTGACCTTTATTGAACAGATCAACAGCCACCTGATCATTTACCAAGCAGACCTCCATATGTTCGTTGGTTATTCTCGCGTATTTCCTAATGTGGTTGTGAGCGTCTGTAATCATGAGTCCGATCATTCGCCGGCCATTCAGTCTAGGTGTTATCCAAGCTTGTGGATGGTTTATTGGTGGTCGGTAGGTTACACTACGTGGAAGGACGTGTTACCGCAGGCATTCATGGAGGAACTAGAGCTGTTGTCGTGTGGAGGCTTGTCGGCAGGCGAAAGTCTCCTATCAACGAGAGGTTTTGAGCGTGGAACGCCCGAAATTGTTGGTAATGTGTTGGAATATTGGTGGCTCGGGGGTATTGGTTGGTAAATACAGATCAAGAACGGGCCAAACAGAATCCGAGTTACAGCGCAAAGGCTGCTCTTTGTAGACTATATAAACGCAGGCACGAAGAGAGGAACTACCCAACCAACAGCGCACTGAAGATGTCTCTTCGAATGGTGACGAAACGTTTGCAAATCAATTGCCAAGCTCGGCGAACAGATCAACAGCCACCTTTTCAGTTACCAGCCAATATGTTCGAGCTACCTATATTCCAACACATTACCAATGGAGCAGTATATTTTGAATCGATCACACATCCAGCCTCAACAGCCACCTGATCAATTACCAACCAATTTTCGCAAGCTACCAATATTCCAACTCATTACCAATGGAGAAGTATATTTTGAATCGATCACACAATCCAGCCAGTAGATGTATTTGGCCTCAAATTTGAATTAGCTATTATAATGCAGGCAATACGTTAAACACGTTCTTTTCTGAAATCGGGACCCGGATTATCACCCTGGACTGTCCAATATTAGCACAAAGTTAATTTTCTGCGATAATATGCAAAACAAGCCAAACTCAGCACAATCGACAACATTAACACATTTTCATGTGGTTAAGTGGAGGTTTTACGCATTTAATTCCATGGAAAATTATCTCATTATCAACATGCACTGAGTCAAATATAACTCATTTCCTCGCAGGAATCTCGGGAAAATATCGGTTCGTCATCCACTCCGAACCCCTCGCAGATAAGTGATGTGGTCATTGACGTGGACTATCAGGAAAGTGTGGAGCAAGATATTCCACATCTGAAGATACGCAGCACCTCTAGTACTCAAGCAACCTCGTCATCTAGCGTCCCAGTAAGTTTATGTACCCCTTAAGTTACCAGGTCGAAATACAGGTTGGATAAGCTTAAAATCTCGTTGATTAGTAGGTCCAAACCAGTGGACTGCCACTTACCAGAAGGGCATCCAATGAACTTAACTATTGAACACGTCTGGTTTCGTCAAATCCTTACGCTCGAAAGTCGTGGATGATTCGTCACACTTTTGATTATTGCCAGCAGATATTCGTCAGTGTTTTTATTGTGCTCTTTGAATGACCCTTTCAATGTAATCGATGACTCACCGTCCAGATATCAAAATGTCTTCGATGTTCGTTGTCAGAAAACATTAGGAAAGAAGGTCGATAATGAAGCCTAACATCCAGGTTTGTGTGGCATGGTTAAAACTTCACCAATATGCTCGTGGCTCCTCATAATATGACCATCAGGTCAAACACCTACCGGTGAGGTGGAAGACCATAATCTGAATGACTGAGCCTTTGAGAATAACATAAGGAATTTTGGGTGAACACTCCTGATGGATGCAGCGGGATTAACTTAACAGCCAGGACTCTTTTGTGTATACTGTTACCTTCATTCAGAAGGGAACGAATTTTGTGTTGTCTCGTTTCACTCCATATTCGTTTTAAGTTTCTTGTTAGAAGCAAGGTTTTTTAGTATTTCTTATTTCACTGTCTCTTATGAAAGAGGAATAATAAACAAGGCAGGTCAAAAACCATATTAGATTTGCGAAAGAGTGATGCGAAGAAAATAGTCCGATTTTCGACGAAGAACAGCAAAAGATAAATTGACTGTCGTGCTCACGATACTACAATACATGCGTCTTGACCCTATTCTATGTCAGAACACTGTTCCCAATTACAAATGTGATATAAATGTGATAGGAATTTTGTTTCTACTAACGAGTAAACAACGCCAAAAAGGCTTTCACATAGAACGTTTACAAGATTCATTATTTTTTGACCCTGTGAGTCTCCAAAGTGACGCCTTTTGTGTAATATACCGGAAATTTAGATTTCTTTGATCACTTACATTTCTAAAACAATCCTGGTTACTTGAAATTTTCTAATTTTCGGAGTATGTTAGGGGGAAGCTCCGTGCGAAGCTGGACTGCTTTCTTCGGCTTGTAGGGAATGTCAATATTTAAGACCTCTTCTTCCATACAATTAAGCTGGTGCAAGCGAATCACCGAAAGGTAACTCATTCAATTTACAGGCTTCTGCCAAGCGTGTCTTACGTCACAGCCGGGTCAACATCTAGTTCGTCGAAGTATTTTTCACATGGTTCCACCTAAGAAAATGGCGACAGCTCTCCAATATTCAGTCACGGTTTTAGCATTTCTTGACTTCGTAGACGAATTTAATTCCATATTTTTCCTGGTCCTTATTTGGAGCCAAAATTTTAATCGGATATTTGAGCAGTTAGACGATGAGTTACGAGTTACACTAATAAAAATTTCCCTTTCAAAATCAGCGCGATGAAATTTTAGCAAATAATTTATCCTTCTATATTCATATCTCTCACCTTAAAAGGCGGAGGCTTTCACCTTTCGCGCTTACTGGTGACTTGAATGCTTTTCAATGTGGTCACTACCGTTAATACTACCAACGCACAAATATCGGTGTCAATTTTATCGAGAAGCAGGACACAAGTATAAAAGGCGGAAAGCATACATTGTCAGAAAAAGGAGGAAAATGTTTTCGAAGAAGGGTGTCACCACTAGTTTTGTCATTCATGGCACATAAGTTCAAGTAAAGTTTACGACAATGGTGAAGGCAGCTAGAGTTATTTAGAACGCGAATCACCTACAAGGTGTCCCCCATATATATAAAATATATATTAATACACTAATAATGAATAAAGTTCAACCAAATGACCTTAAACTGAAATATAACGCAGAATTGGTAAATCTCGGCCAACAATACTTTTGTAAGACTGGGGAAAGCTGATCCCTCATTAGAAACAGCAGGGTGTTTTTACCGGGATACAGGTATAGTGTTTAGCGGCACTTGAGACTTGAAAAATAACAACATACAATCCCTCATAGCCAAATCCCTACTTCTCCCAACTCTACATTCTGGACCATGCGCATTTCTAATCACGCCCCACAGCGGTGACTATGTCAGGCCTAATGAGGATGTCAACCGTCAACTCTCAGAGTTTGAAGTGCTACCAGGAAACCAGACCCTTGCGAAAAAAGTTAGCAATATTCGTGGCTCAACAGATTTTCAGTTAAATATTTCCAGTTGATCACTGTTCTGACGACGGAATAACTCCCCGCAACCACGACTGTTCTGTGCGTCCCTTAGATGTCTTTAATAAGTATACAGAAAGTAAACTTATGAATAAAGACGAAAGAGGGATAATTCATAGGTTTTGAGGTGTCTAAAAGACAGATACTAGCCGAGCACCAGCAATAGTGTATCACTCCATGCAGATTGTTGATATCCTGCCAAGAAGAGTGAAATCTGTGAATGAAACGTTGCGTAGTACTCGGTACTGAGTATATAGCTGCTTTTCCATACGTGCTGTTTTGTGCAGAATGACTGTTCTACAACAAACGATTCTTTGATCATTATGCGGTCTTTGTGTTGTACAAACAGGCAATAAGAATGGCGTTCAGTAAACGTGGTTTGGCAAGAAATGGTGTTGCATCTGATTGGTTATACACCTAGAATTAGCGTTACAGCATTTTTGCGATAATGCTGTTGGCGTAATTGTATTGGATGTTTAACATAGATTGGTGTTCATTTCCTGATACGAGTATACCAGGATAATAGTTTTTAGATAATGCATGACGCAAACAAGGGTTTCAGTATTTTCAGTGCCCTTTAGTGGGTACGACAGCAGTGGTTTGGAAGAACCGCAAGCTCTCAAAAGCCGGCGTTTTTATAAAAAGAATTGGGTGTTAAAACATCAGAAGTTTCTCACTGGCGGTTACAAAACCAAAATTCCATTGTTGACTTCCGATTGTTGACGGTGATCTCCTCAAGAAATATATGTCTGGGGTTCGGGCGTTCGCAAAACCTGGAGAAAACGCTTGTTGGTTTGACTCTGTCCGAGTTCTCATTGACAGAAGTTAAATCATATGAGGTTTGAGAATTACTGTTCGAAAACCTGATATGCTGCGTAACTAGCCAGATTAGCGTGAGAAACCAAAGAATATGTACAAAATGTTTTGGTGTGAGTTTTTCACCAGGTTATCTGGATTTTTTCACGCCCTATTTATTTAATCAGACGTGTAGGGCGAATAAGTTGTTCTCTCAGAAGGTTAATTTGGTGTCCGTATCCAACTTAAAAAGTGAATTCAAAGACAGGCCACTCAACTTGTCAGTCTTCATAAGGCAAAATTGAAATTTATGGAAAGTGACCGGATTGCTTAAGGAATACTGGGCGAACGAAGCTTGAAGCCAAGTCACGAACAAATGTGGAAGTGGACTGTTCTCGTCCTAGGATGTAGATGCCATAAAGGTGTGCAAGGTAACAGCTTATTTGCTCTTATTGTTTATGTTTGCTCCCAAATATTTCGTTTGGAAGTGGGATTCACTTGACATATACTGAACAGAATGACGGACCAACTGCTCTGTGCAGTCATAAACGGTTGAAACAAGTTGGATTCTCCCCTTAGTGAGATATCACCACTTACCTGGAAAGACGTAGTTATCCAAGTACAACGTATTGATGTGCTGAACACAATACTTTTACACTAACTGATTATAGATATCATTCATTTTGATATCATCATTCTCTAAAGTTATCAAATGAGCAGTTGCCAATCGCCCAAATTTATCAACTGTTTCCTATTGTACTCACAGTTTGATGTTACGCACAGCCGAATGAAGAAATTCTCAATAGGCAAACCATAAGTTTACAGGCTTTTCCGTCATTAGAAAACAATTTATCCGGTGTTCTTAACTTTTTATTTATTTCAAGGCTACACTAGACGGTCATATCTCCAGAAAATCAACCGAGAAAAGCAGTTCACGGAGGATTCCTGCCAGACGTCCAGGCAAGGTACTTATTCAGCTGTTGATACATTTTTTAACGACTGACACACTATCTCAACAGTAACAAGATGTAAACTGCATCTTAATTATCTCATATCATTTTGTTAGGGTGCAATGGATGCTACGCTTCTGCACGCATTTGCCGCACTTTACACCTAAGCTGATCCATTCCTCCGACAGAACTAGGTGATCAAAGCTCGTGAAAACTGTGAAGAAGCGGCCTGTTGCGTTCCATTGCCATACTTCTGGTCAAGTCTAAGTTCACGAATTAACAAACTAAGCCGCAACGAATTAGTACTGTTTCCAAATTTGAACATGGTCAGGGAAGGCTGTCACTTTTAAACTGAGCAAGTGGAGTATAAAAACATTAGCCCAGGAACACTGTTTTCTGATTACTTGGAACATCTGTTGAACCTAGGAATGATCTGTCAACTTGTATCATCGACCCTCTTCTCTCACAAACATTTTCCGAACCAAAACTGCAGTCAAATATTTCACGAGAATCGAGCAACTGGGCTGTGTTGTTTTTGACGACTAAAAGCTGGGAAATTCATAGACCATTGGTAGGAATGCAAATTCAATGACTACTTTGCGTGCTTGGATGAGACTGTTCTCCCGACATGTTCATCCACTCTTAGTTTGGTGAGTGAATATAGGCAGATTTTAGCCACCGATTTTGCTGATTCGTATCCGTCTCACCCATCTTCTGAAGCAGTCCTGTTTGTTTCAAAAGCCATCTAAATGTACGCATGCGGGGTAAATCACTAATTTTTGGAGATTTTTCGGGGCTTCCGGGGTAACAACTTTAAGAACAAACAAGGAAGGTATCGCATCCCTCACCTCACTTCCAACTTACCCAACATCTAGACACAAGCAAACATACCCTCATACCTACAAACTTTCGGCAAGGACGCCACAAGACAACACTTAGACTTTGTTGCCATGAGAGTTCCACGTAAATGTACGCATATAGCGCATTATACAAATTATCTTTGTAGGATCGGAGTTGTTGGGGATATAGTTTTGTGTGAGGAACCTCATCGCGTCAAAATACATTTAGTAGGTTTGAACTGCATGAGGCATTATCAAAGAGTCGTATTTACCGAATAGGGAGAAAATGCCGAGAATTCTCGGAGAAACACATTGAGAAAAATTTGGACTCTGAAACATCAGTTTAAGAAGTCGCAACATTCGGACGGCTGTTTTCTGTTTTGACTTCTTATTTGACGAGCCATCTTTCTGTAGTTACAAAGCAATAAGCGTTCCATCAAATCGGCGATCGGTGTTGAAATTTTCAGTGAAATACTGCAAAATGAATTCAGCATAAATTCTTTAGCGACAATCTCATGAATGACAAGAAACAAAACATATACTTACATGGATGTTTTTGGACAACTGCACTCGAGATCATTTAAGGAGCAAAGAAGACAACAAAATTTTGTGTCTTTTGCAATCAGTTTAGAAAGGAATATCAGAGCACATCTTTGGCACTTTAGGCTGCAAGGGCTCTGCTTGAACTTGTAGAACTGTCATTTATCATAATGAAAACAAAATCATCATTGCCACCATAATAATTAAAACCTCAATATCTGTATTGGATCCTGATGCTTACTGTGAGGAATGAATAAAAGTGAAGAGCAAGGAGACCTATTGTTTCTCGCTGACAATAACTCCATGGTTACCCCTCTAGACACTTGTTTAGGCAATCTAGGTAGAGGGCGACATCAAGGAAGCTAGTGATACAGATCAACGGCCATATGTAGGTACCTCACTAGTCAAGCTTTTGGGAGGCCATCTACGCCCTATGCAAGTGGAGGGCTTATGCTAACATTACTCGAAAAAATCTTCTCATCATTTTCCTATCGCTCATCTAACTGTGACGCACGTGACACCAGTATTTTTGCATCTGATCGAAGCATGTGCAACGCAAACGATCATCTTAGCACCCGCTCCTAAACCCCTTTAGTTGAAGCCATTGTCACATGCCCGAAAAGAGGCTTTTTATCGTCGAATGGTTATGAAAGAAAAGTCTGTGTGCAGTTGGTGTGACTCGCCTTCCAAGATGAAGTCCGGTTGATCTATTCCGTACTTGGACTGAAATTCAGCAGTATGTGGATGCTGGTGTTAAGTGTGCACAAAAATATCCCCTGTCAAGTACAGACAATTTAAAAGTTTGCTCCTATACCCCTCTCTATATGTGAACAGCTTTTTTTCCTTAGCTGACGAAAGTAAATGAAGTGCCTAGATCTTTCTGCTTTTTTCAACATTTGACCTGACTGAGTGAAGTGCTAATTAACCAATGGATCCGTGTGATAATTACCGCCATTCGCCTTTCAATGCATTATATTTTTCAGCATCATGATGTTCAAGACGCTGATAAGAACAAACCGCAACTCACTACTCAAAGGCGGAGTACTGTAAGGACTGGCGTGAAAGGAACGCCAAGCAAAGTCAGTTGTTTAGAGAAGACAGTCTTGTTAACCACTTTGTCTCCGCATTATCTGACAGATTTCTGGGAGTTTTTAGAGAGCCACATTATTCATAAAAACCGATTGTGTGATTTAAGATTGACTAAGTTGCATTTTGTAGGGCGCGTAACCTTAACGTTCGCACTGTAATCAAGTGCCGCAATTTCCTGTTTTTTCCGCTTTCCTCTCACAACAACGAGCACGACCTGCAATAAAACGCAACAAAACTAAAACAAATGACCCCTCTACTGGAACCCGGGTTCACAGAAATTAATGAAGGTATTTTAACCCGAACTCATCTGGGAAACTTTTGTGCTAGCCAGCCATTGTGCTGCGTGTAAAATAATTCATTAGTGAGCTTATTCAAATTTTTTCCGATTGTCATTGGCCTCAGAAGGTTGTAGAGAACATTTTCTTTTCGAAATAACTGAAATAAAGTGGCCTGGATACCAGTATTTGTAGACAAAAACGTATACCAACATCATTCGAAATTACTCGTTAAGTAAAACATAAATCTTCAAAAAGGTTTCCGTTTATTGTGCTCATTTGGCCAATCACATCAGATTTTCCAAATGAAGCTCACCCAGACCCACGAAGATGTTGATCTGTTTAAGTCACTTTCATCTTCGAATCCTAATGAAACATTCAGTTTGAGTCAATACAAAAATTGTTTAGCTGGTTGCGCACGCTCGGATTGTTGCCATCCCACCTAGTACCGAATCAAAGACGGAAAAATGATGGCCTAGTACGACAGGTACACAACCTATTCCGATCTCTCGTAATTTTTTTATTGCCATGCCACCCATCAACCCAAATGTCCACAAAAGATTCCAGCCGTCTAATGCTCAATAAAATATCCCTGGGTTTCAGTCACCTCGCAATGCCACCCATCAACCCAAATGTCCACGAAAGATTCCAGCCGTCTATTGCCGAATAAAATATCCCTGGGTTTCAGTTACCTTGTAAATTGCTTTCGCTGCTTAGATTTTGGTCAACAATTTCCGATGTTTCCAAACATGTCGACTTCAATAAATGTTTGAAGAAGACAAATAATAATAGCTGGATAGAGAGAAATAACACAATGGCCGTGTTGTTTGACGTTTCTCCTGGTCCTTTAATCCCACTGGAAGCCGGAATCACTAATGAGTGAGATGCTACCAAATCCAGATGACTTATAATTTATGGGCTATATCCTTGAACATTAAATCACTTACTATGTGTCGGGAACGTTTTAGGACACCAAGGAATAAGCTCTTGTCATTTTAGTTGAGTATCGCATCACATGTAAGAACACTGTCGGTTGAGACAACCTCAGTTAACCGGCTATTTGTCTAATGCAAGCTTTAACATTGCATAGCAAAGCAAAATGTTGACGTGGTCTTCCAGGAAGCATTTACTTGTTGTTAAATCCTTTTGAAACCCAGGCTTGTCCAACAACGTGGTCTTCCAGGAAGCATTTACTTGTTATTAAATCCTTCTAAAACCCAGGCTTGTCCAACATATACTGGAGATCACATGTAATACCACTGTGAGAAAGCATAGTTAGCCTAATATAAACACCGTCAACCATCCTAAATAAATTGCTCAAGAAAACCTACAACCGAAAAATCACATATAAGATCCACACACACGTGATCGTACGTAATTCAAGTAATAACCAGTTGGCTGTCCAGATTGTCCTCCGTGAAGCGGAGGAACCTAAATCCTGAATCGTTAATCTAAATGTTCCGACCTGTGTATGCTGATGTGAATGAATTGAGAAATGAAAGCGGGTCGGATCAATAGCTCCCGATTACTTTGGTAGGCCATTGAGATATGCTGCGTTCTTATCTTGGGCGTTCAATTGAGTGCCTTCTTGTGCACTGCGGTGCTTTACTGTTATTTCAGACTGGTCGTACATCCCAAAAACCTACTACAATTGACATCGACGAGTGGTTGAAGTTGAAGGAGATTGTTTCGAATTTTCGATCATGCGAATGCCCCCCTCGATCACAGGTAATATTTTTCAAAAAGCTTCCCTTATTTGTGTACAGTATTCTGTACAGTTATCAGTGCAATTTTTAGTGATATAGCATTTCGGTACAACACGTGCTCTTTGTGACGAAATGCAATCCAGTGTCATGAGTGGGTATGAGTGTCATGAGAGTGTAAGCAACATGGTGCCACAAGTCAGGTTCAAGGAAGGCAATTCGTAGATAGAGTAGGGTAGTGCTTCTATCGTGCCCAAAACTTTGTACACATACCCGTACTTCTCTTCTAGGGAATAATACAAGGTCATGGAGATCAAGGGGCACCAAATGTTTGTTTGCCCTGTCAGCTTCTCCGAAGGTCACAGACAACATAATACAGTATTACAGCATTTGCACACGTACAACTTAAGCTGCAGTAATTAGCTCTGGGTTGTGACTTTGAGAAATCGCACTTAAATATTCCGCTTTCAAAAGGCACACATGGCTCCCGAAGAAGTTGAAATAACAGCTCGAATCTGTATAGGCAAATGACCTTCAAAAGGTATTCTTGTGTTAATAGAATCATTATACTGCATTTAAAAGCTTCCGACCAGAGTCCCTTACTATGCTTTCTACTATGAGTAACCATTGTACTAATTGCATTGCCGTTATTTACTTTAGAATGTACTATTATTTTTCTGCTTTTCCAAGGATCAGTACTACACCACATCACAATCTCCATCGCGCCCGGCAACAAACATCTGCAAATGTAACCTAGTAAGTTTTCATCCTAAGCAGACGGACTTCCTGATTATCCTCTAGACGTGTACATGAGACACTGTGGGATGGTCGGCACCATTTATTTTACTATTTGGCATTTACATATGCGTCTCCTCTGTTCATTTTTTTGGAAAAAGGTGACCTTAAGCAAGGATGACCTTAGAAATGGATCAAGCGTGCCAAAACTGTTGAACGTAGATCCACGTACAGGCAATACAAACCCGTGAGCAGAATACACGGATGGACTTGAATCCCTGACATTTCATTCACTGAGCGAATAGTCAAATAAATTACTTGCAGTGGACACTGTTCTACGTCACTCATCACTCTTTAGTTAACCCTCCGCACGCGCTACTGAGACAGCGTCTGTAATATATAAAAATGCTCCCAGGAAGTCCCATAGCAGACAATGAGTACACGGACGATATTGCCCTCCTCCGTTCAGGTCCTTCAAAAAGTCAAGCAATTTAAATAAGCTTAATGACTCCACCACAGGGTTTCGCACGTTTGTCACGTCTGCAGTCTAAAGTGCTGCTACAAGACTGGGTTGGATCAAACCCACATCTCATGCCTACAGGCGATCCAACAGACGTAGATTAATTTATTTACCAGGGCAGCTATTTACGTCCCGGTGGCCTAGCTGGAGATGAGATTATTTCTCGAATCGGATAATCCATCGCAGATTTTTCCAACCTCCAACTTATATGGCGCTAACGTGACGTCAGTTTATCTATCAAGAGTAGAGTTAACAATGCGTCGGTCTGATCCATACTTCTTTATGGATCACAGACGTGGCCTCTGTGCGGAACATATCAGTGGTTGACCATCGGCGTCTCCGAAGCATTGGACAGATCTGCTAGGAACGTCGGATTAGTGGTGGTGAGGAACGCCACATGGTCTTAGACGGAACTCCCTCGCGATAGATGAATTACTCACGCTTCATGGGCCGCGCCGGTTGGGACAAGTACTCCGCATGCCATAAGACCGTCGGCCTCACAGAGCTCTTGTTGCTCAACTCTGTGTTGAGCGTTCGAGAAGTGGTCAATGTATGGCCTGGCAACGTGATACGAAAACGCTAACCAGAAAACTTGGTCGGGTCGGCAACTGCCGCATCCTTAGACTGGGACATCTTGGCTCATCTCTCTACTGGTTAATGACACTGGCCCAATCGCGTAGCCAGTGGCGCTCATACGTTAAATCTATCGCCATTAGTGCGCAACTATCAGCTTTATGAACTAATTGAACGTGCAATCGCCTCCAAGGCTTGGCTGTATGTCACATGGCTGTATGTCTCGTGTTCTGGTGCGCGAATTCGTAGCATTGCAATCGCCTCCAAGGCTTGGCTGTATGTTACACACTCTCTCGTGTTCTGGTGATCGAATTTGTAGCATCTAGAACCAATGTGCCCACGGCACACGGTTTATGGCTGATAAATTAAATTGAACGTGTTTGATAACTTAAATTAAATTGAACGTACGAACCCAAACATGGCTTAAAAATGATTCTTAAACGTTTGTACAGTGTACGTGCTGTTGTAACCCAGAATTCTGTATCAATGACGACTATTCACGGAAGTGACTAGAATTATTTACGTTGTTTGTAAACAACAGCATGCATGGCTAATGTCAATCGAACTGTCTAGCTTGCGGGATTAGCTTGGTTGGCAGTCGAACTATTTTGTTATCAATAAAGCAGCTCCTAACTTTCAACTTAGTGGGAGAATGTTAAACATAATTCCTGATATTGACTTGTGCAGAACTTTACTGCGCACGTCAATTCACCACCCGCTAGGCTTGAAAAAGTGGAGGGTGCGACACGGGAACCATTTTTCTCAATTGACTCTCCAACGTATGTGCACGCGGTTGTGGTTTACTCTAAAATATACGTCCCACTTCACTGTGTTCATTTTCGAGAACCGATGTTGCCTTGCATCGTAGTGTTCGCACTCAGCTGTTAGCCTCTTCAGGTGTAAACTTTAAGGTTTCAGCCATCATTTCGAATGTTATATTTATAGATCACCATGCGTAACGCGTTACAGACGGTGGCTAGTGAGACTGTACAAAATCATCTGAAGAAATTTGATTTCGTTTCTAACCAAGAAATTCCAAACTTCCTACATAGTCGCATGTCTGTTTTTCCCAGCGTTATAGCACAGATGACTTAGTCGATATTTCAAAATTCCGACTTGCCTGGAACTGATTTATACGTATTGGTAAGAATTTCTTCAATCACAGCATTGAACTAGTTTGGACTCGTTCATTATTTCAACATGAACTTACATTCTCCCTCTTTTTGAGAAAAGACGAATTTCGGGTTGCTTTACGTTCGTAACTTTGTCTTCACCTTTTGCAGAGAAATCTCCAGTTTACCACTATTGTCTCATGTAATTTATGCACTATTCTTATTTCAGGAAGATGGCGGCATGACATGCACACGTAGCATTGACTTCAATAGCCGGGCGAAACTGAGCCAGATTGTTCTGAATTTCCGCAATTGTGACTGTCCTCCTCCTCATTCCCAGGTGTGTATTATTTATACTTAAGTATGCTGCTGATTTATTACCTTTATTAAACTTTATATATACAAGCCTAATAAACACATTGCTTGGATGAAGAAGAAAAGCAATCAAGGATAACTTTTTGGCGCTCAGCAAGATTATTAGGCCAAAAAACAGTTAATCATTTTAACCAGAAACAAACGGTAATTATAATCAAACAGCTCTTTCGTAAGTTGCATCTACAGCAAAAGCCTTACCAGTAATTTGTTTGCAAATTTGGTTAGATAACTTAAGTAGGATGGTAGGCAAATTGGAATTTTGAAACCCTGCCACAGGCATATGCATCCGGCAACAAACAGCATATAATTTCATTTTTCGTGCAGTCTCCATTGGGATCTGAATGGCGTCCTACCTCGAAATTGGACGTTTTTAAATCCCTTCAGCTCAAACCTTCTTTGAATATATTACTCATTATTCACTTGACCAAACTATTGTACCCTACCACTACCTGGAACCATATAATGACGGCTCAATAAATAAGCTTGCATGAAGTTGGATAAGCAGAAATCAGAACCTTTTGCAAAACTTCTTTCAAGACGTTGTTATATCTGGTTTAAAACTGAAGTTCGAGAAAACCTTGAATAGTTTGTGAGCCTCCAAAGCACTTTACCCTTACGAGGAATTCCACAGTAAATTCATACTTGGTTTGAGCGCAGACTTTTCTCACTATCCGACTGTTTTTATCAGCATCTGTTCCAGTGACAATCCATTCAACGGACTTATCCGGTTATGTTCCTTTGGTGACATCTGCGCGCACTATTCTGTCGGAACCGTTGTAATGAGCCGTGTGAGCTTTTCGGTAGATGAACTTCTTGGGATCACTGGACAGGTCTGCCTTGTCTTCCGCCACGGTTCTTCTTCTTTACTGTTCCTTATGTAACTCCGCAGAATCAAGCCTAATCCAGAAAATTTGTGTATGTAAAAGGATCTTAGACAAAGCACCTCGAGATTTTTATATCCCCGTGAGGCGCCCAAATAGGAACTGTTGTATTCGGTGAAAATCAATCATCGACTGATGAAAACGATTTTTGATATATTGTTGTATATATTTTCTACTAGGTCACTTTCACAGCGACCATAGCATGTAACTCTTGAGCACCCCAGGTTTTCTAGCTCCAAGCAACAGCCCTCTTCCTGTTAAAAAAATCAATGCCTTCTGATGAAACTAAGTTAGTGGTTTGAATATCTGGAGACAATTAGTGACTGAAGGAGGATTCGGCGAAAAATAAAACTGACGGAAGCATATGGCTTTCATCGGTTGAATGGGATAGTTTAGTAGAAATACACTGCGGGAACTAATAAGTTCTGACTTTAGTTCCCAGACACACACATGCAACTACTGACGCTTGTAATCCCGCAGAAGTACCTGGAGCAGACTGACTGCTGACCTGTATGAAATGGGCGATAACAAATTGAAGTAAATGGCACACGCTAGAGGCTGCTTCGCATGGTCACCAAACAAGGTCTCGTGTGGGTTTCTTAATTAATTTAAAATCTTGATCTAGGCAATTCCCTTCGTCAATTAGATGTCCCCGTTTGTATCGATCGATTCCGGTCATGATGATTAGCCTTCCTTTCTCGCGCTTCACACATCAAACAACTTGTTCTGTTTACCACAGCACTTTGAGTCTGTTTACCTCAACATCATACTGCATGCATTTTTGAACTACTAAGGCACTTTTGTCAGCCCTTGGATAAAATAAAGCACAGTGGTCAGAAATTTCTATGAGCATATTATCTCATTATGATGGCAATTAGCGGATGACTTCGGTAACCCCAATATTACCGATGCCTATGACCGATATATACTTTCCATCCACTCTTAAATCTAGATTGAATTTCTAACGTATGATCGCAAAACCTATTGTCTAAGCATTACGAAAATACCAAAAAACCCGTTTTTTCTCATGATACGCAGAATCTGCAGGCGAAGCTTTCAAAAATAATAAAGTGAAATAGAACTGGATATTACACTCGAATTTATCCACTCAGTGCAGCGGCGTTCTACTTCATGGAAACTTTCACTTTCAACAAACGTCGATATGATGAGATACTTAAACATATACAGTTTTAAACAAGTGAACTGTGGCTTACATTGTTTGTTATTTAAAAGAGACTTCTACAAGAGCATCGGCAGCAGTGGGCAGTTAAGCGCAAAAGAGGACGAAAACAAATTACGCACGTATGCGCACAATCGGGTGGGTATCATCCAGAGAAAAATTAGATTACTCGAGCACCCAAGGCACGGCAGTTTGCGCGTACCCAAGGCACGGCAGCTTGCGCGTATGGAGCTTAATTAAAGAAGAGAGAGACTCCTAATACTTCGTTAGATTTAGTCACTATTTTTTGCCCAGCAGTATGGACATATGCATACATACCTATTGGCCAAATCAGATTTGTTCGTATCAAAATAAAAGTTTGATCTCTTGTTCTGAAGGATCAATGTATCTGCGCACCGAATTTCTCACGGTCTTCGAAGACAAGCCCGTCCTTTTTTGAACTAGTAAGTAAGAAGCCTGCATGCATTTGTTGTTTTACATATGGAGAAAATTTGACACTCCTCAGTGACTACGTGTGTGATTAACTTAGTCTGAACAGGTATTCCCATTTAGATGAGTCATATTCATCGTTTCAAACAGCTTGCGACCCATAATTGGATCACTGTTGCTGACGACAAATACTGGGCGCATCATCAACGGAGCGATATTCAAAGTTAAAGACTTCAGCGTTATACTGTATACGTTCTTGACTAACGCCTAATGGATTGAGGCCAGATGTCGCATTCAGATCGTAGCGAAGCAAAACGGCCACTTTCTGTACGGAACTATGACAAAATTAATCTTCAGTTAGAAGCCAGATTTCTGACTGCGATAGTCGTTAAGACCTAGACTCTTGACTGCAATATTGGTTAAGACCCGGATTCTTTTTCACAGGTTTTTGTTATTTCAAGCACATTGCAATCAAAATTTAATCATAATTTTGTACGCTCTATGTGATTTTATTTAGAGGCTAGTTTTTTAATACTGTGAGATATGCCAGTGATCGCGACACACGCGACGCTAGGGAGATATGTCAATTTACTGCTACACGACTGCACTTTTTAACCTATGTCATCAAATCTCTCTTTCAGGAATCTTCAAAGAAACAACATGTTCGCTGCACTTGCGGCCAAGTAAGAGTTTGTACACACCGCATTAAGGGAGTTTTTGCAAGATAAATCACTTTTTCCTCTGATGAGCGAATATTGAATTAGTGTTGTTATAAACGAGTCAAAATGTAGCCGCTTTCCATGCCACTGATAGTTCATAATGAGTATAGGAGATTAACTTGTACTGCTGAGAGCATAGCTCCAAGATGCCATTCCTGTCACACGCACTTCCATCTGGGTTATCCCTGTACAAAACGTATAAATTTCGTTACCCAGGTCATGCCGAGTGTTGTCACCTGAGATCACACTTGTGCGCCGTACCTACTGCCCGGCTTTTTTACGAAATTCATGGGAAGTGTTAAGCCATCAAACTACTATGTATGTGTTCATAATGACAACGTATTTGATTGAAGCCACCAGTCATCTGTTTGGCCTGATCCGATTCTGTTGATTAAATTACCCTATGCTAGTAAACTGTGAAGGGTAACTTTGGAACCACAATAACGCAGATGGTTAAAGAAGCCTTCCCAGCCTACATAAGTGCCTGAATGGCGATTATACCTTACGTAATGAGAGTGGTTCAATCTAAAATGATGCCTTTTAAATCGCTTCTTATTATTTCTGATTACGGCTTTTAAAGTATCAAGTTTTCCAGTGAAACCATATACCAAGTGTACGCAGCGGGGAATCCTAAGTGTACAAAAAGCACATTTTCGGAAATCATGAAAGCAGCTTTTATCCCAGATGACAACATTAATATGGGAGGTTTCGTTCGTCAATATTTGGTGTAGATAAACTGCAAAATGCAAAGAGGATTTACGTCACACTGAGTGGCGCTGAAGAATTACTGCTTAGGAGAAATTCGTGTTACAATGAGCAGATAAGAACAGTCACTTAAAGTATCAAGTTTTCCAGTGAAACCATATACCAAGTGTACGCAGCGGGGAATCCTAAGTGTACAAAAAGCACATTTTCGGAAATCATGAAAGCAGCTTTTATCCCAGATGACAACATTAATATGGGAGGTTTCGTTCGTCAATATTTGGTGTAGATAAACTGCAAAATGCAAAGAGGATTTACGTCACACTGAGTGGCGCTGAAGAATTACTGCTTAGGAGAAATTCGTGTTACAATGAGCAGATAAGTAACAGTCACTGCTAAAATGAAGACCCTAAGCGAACCTACCTTGTTCATTGACCTGATTATTGACGGAGCGGTACGATGTTAAGAGCGTTGATATGCGCATTGTAGGCGACTTTCATCAGAAACAAAGCAACCATAATATAGATAATCTAATTGATCCAGGCGAGGTGAACAATAATGACCAACACAAGTGTCACCATCAGCTAAAATATTTTTTTGACTTCATTTAAAGTGAGCATGAAGCAAATACTCTAAACGCTTTCGTTTTCAGCAGAAAAAGCGCTGTAGTAATAACTCTTTACTCTTTTATGTTTATCCGCAACTTTCATTCGGCTGACTAATTTCAATACAATTTCTGTTATACTACGACTTTTGGTTACTCCATGCAAATGCCAACGTTGGGGATAAACAAAATAGGCTTCAACCAAACTCCTAAACGAGCAAACCGGTCATCGGTTGTTGCACACACAAGACATCTCACCAGGAAGAACAGAGTAGCGTTGCATTAGTTTTCCTTTCATTTAAGTGAATCTATCTCGCAGCACACTCTGATTTTATGCTCGTCCTGTATGTTGCATTGTGATGTGTAGTTCATAGTTCGTTTACCAGAGAATTGTCGTTTAGGACGATAAAGCCCATGTATGTGAGTCACATTATGTGGCGCCATGGCTCAACGGACAAGCCCCTTTTCAGACAAAGAGACCCGAAGTGCCTAGTCGTGGAACACATGTTACTACATCATTACACGTCATATAGTCATCATTTACTAGGAGATCGACTACGAATAGTTCCCTGAGAGTGTGATGAACAGTGGATGTCAAAAAATTGGAAACGCTTATTTTCAGGATACCAGACATTATTATAGAAAGACTACAGTGCTCAAATCAATCTAAACAGTTGGAGAAGAACGAGAAAAGGCTATTTTAGACAGTGGTTTAAAACAGAAACAGGGTTAAGTGTTACAGTATGTTTGCACCAATGGCTGGTATCCTCAGTGATGCTATCGCAGTCGACCATTGTATACTGGTGATAAATGCGAATCTCTATTCATTTTGTTAATTGTTGAATTTTGAAAACTTTTTGTGAATTTTCCTCAAGCGCAACACTTGGGTATTTATATTATTAGAAATAAGGCTTCGTTGTCAAGGCGGTGTGAATATCTAAATAACAGCTTCTGAGACCTATTCAGTCCTCAGGGCTGTGTTACATTATTATTTAATTTAGCGCATATAAAAATCGTTCAGCTGAAACACTTGTTTGGTGCCAAGCTGCTATGCCACCCGAAATAAGCACACTGCCAGGTTGTCCAGGTGACGACAGAAGTCGAGATGCAGAGTCCGGGTTCAAACCACGGACCTTTGAGTCAGTAAATCCGTGCTCTAACCGCTGAGTCCCCTGGCCCATATAGTACATACGAATTTAATTGCCATTTCCTAAAACAGAACAAGACACCTTTCAGGAATCAAACAGGCAGTTTACCCATCCTAATAACAATCACGAGCTCTAAGCTCTAATTTCTTCTAATCAATTACGTCATATTCGAACTTCTGCGTGTGTGTGTGCTCTGGATTTCGCCCACGATATTTTCAGCCAATAATTCCTGAAGAAAAACGCAGTCGACAGTCAACTATTCATGATTATTTTTGGAGAAACTGAGGAATGTAATATTCGACCGGGACAAAATAATGGCCTCGTTTTAATCGACCTCACGATCACTCATCATTTACTCAATGAATGCGAGCCAAGATATTTTGAGTCCAACGGAAGACGTAAACAACTATGAGGATCACTAGTGCGAGATCCAATTCAGTGATTTATTGCGGAATCCGCCATACGTAACCCGGAGTGAAACGTTTTGCCGGTGTAAACCCTAAAGTGCAAATCTGCTTTGCAAACGCACTTCAAATATAATCAGGAACACCAGAATGTAGACAGAAGGCCAACCAACAAGTTTGAAAATATCCATTTCACAATAAAGGGAACTGACATTTTCATATGTACGTCTCAATGTTTTATTAAACGTACAGCTGGAAACCTAGACCTACGGAAATGTACTTAGACCAGCCACATTTTGAAGGATCACGCAACCGTCCAAAGTGTTAGAACCAAAACATCATCCCGACAGCTGATGCGGAATGAGACGTGCTGAAAGATTAGGGCGTCTACGGCTAAGGAAACACGGATTCAGGACGACATACTTCGTAGAAATTGATACCCAATTTATTCCACAACCAAAAAGCACACAGCTAGGGTGGACAAATGGCATTCCTTACTTTACTGCTTTAATGATTGCGAATCGTTCTGGACACCACAATACAAAGATGGCCTCAAAATCAGCCAACACTGCGGGGGCACCATCAAAGTGAGGAGAATAGTCTGACTTAATAAAGGAGAATAGTGCTCTTGGCAGAGTTCAATGAAAGCATTACGACGAACGATACATGGAACAAACCAGAAGAAAGTTTACCATTGGGATGCATTAACGCAATATTACCACCATAAATCACAACCAGTTTTCCATTCTTTCTGTGCAGAAAGTCCTAGAGGAACACACTCAAACGGGGTACTTCCACTTGCTTGCCGGTTGAACAGCCAATAAAAGAATGTACATTTATCAAACAACGTCATCCTACTGGAGAAATTATCAACAAGCTTTTTGAAATGGCCCAAAGTTATCAGTCCTCACGGACAAAATATTCCCAGAATTCTCAAAATCATAACTTATGAAAACCGAAAGGTGCATTGGGTGGGTTGAAAATTCCTATTCAAACGGAAAAATATATTGTGTTGGAATGTGCCACCAGCAAGTAAAACGAAGGACAGAATTTATGGCCTTCAGTTGACCGGTAGATGCAAGGTCACTAGCGCATATAGGGATGAATCAGAAGGGGCAGTTAGGCAGTAAAATTAGCTGAAGTCAGATAATAAAGTAATGCGAATTTACTATCGGTCATTCAAAACAAGTGACTAAAACTACCGGAAATAGAAGGCATCCTGGTGGCCAAACAAAGCAATCGAAGGCATAACGCAATATAATTCACAAACAAACTAGCAAACTTGAAAAAGCTTTTCTCCAACTGGTCAGTCACGTAAAACACGCTTCAAAAACTATTTAAAAAGACTGCCCGCGTGTGATCCCGGTGTGCATGCTTCTGTTCAACATCTGAACGAGTGTCTGGACATGTTGGCACCTCGAAATGGTTGTGGTTAGCTGGACCCAAATCTCTTTCTCACCTACTTTTATTTACTTCGTAATAAGGCTTTCGAATAAGCTATGATTATATGGGAGCCCAGTATAAATGCCTCGACAGTAATATCCTCTTAAGGATGATGGCGACGATGATGACATCAATGATGAAAAAGGAGGGAAAGATATCCACCCATTCGCTTACAAAAATGCCTCCAATTTTTGTGACGAAATTCTGCAGTTTACTTGCCAAACTCGATGACAGATCAGCAGCTAGTTGAGCCCATGCTTCAAATACCTATACATATTTCTAATATTTTGAACGTATGTACATATCATTGTCCGTGGATCGCATGGTTTTGTTCGGTTAACAGCTTTCATCATTAGCTTCACGAATGTATTATGATTGGCCAAATTAGTTAAATAAAACATGCCGACGTGATAGGAATCTCTTATTCTAGAAAATACAGTAGCTTGTTGTTCCTGATCTGATTATTACACCACAACAATAACAATGGTCGCGAGCTTCAGATCAGTACTAATGAGAGTGCGGACCATTTCGTGAAGCGCAACCACTTTATCGAAAACTCAAATGTTTTCAAACAATGCTCAAACACAGCCCATGTTATCAGAAAAAATTTTTACTGTAAACCTGACTTCAATAGTTTGGGTATGATTTGGTGTTAAGTCCGAGACCTTACTGTTGTGCACTCAGTGGGAGGAACAACAAACTAGTGCAGCTCTCTTGTGTATTTTTACAGAAGTCCGATGACGCTGTCAAGTCAGAAGTAAATGGCAACTTATGTCCGTGCACACCGGTAAGCTGGATAAGCAACTGGACTGGTTTGTTGCTAAATCACTATTTGTCTCCTAGTAGTTCCATTAATTGCAATTCGGACATGTCGTTGGAGATCTATCGGTATCCTGTTTAATGCTTGAACCATCAGAGTAGTAATGTATATTGTAAAAATGCACGTTGTGGTATTTTGCCCATCGCTTCTGCGTTTTGCAGGAGGATTTGGAACTTCATCCGGAAGAAATTTCATCCAATTGCGTTTGTCACGTGGTAAGTTACACTAACATGAGCTCTGTAAGTAGATACAAATTTGAGCGAAGGAATAAGAGGTTGTCATTAGTAAACAAATAGGAACATAACCGAACTTGGTTGTAAACAAATAATTGTACGTGGTCAGCGTGCTTTGGTAACCATGTTTATGCGGCAAAAATCACAAAATGCCATCCGTTTTAAGGTCAGTGTAAACTGTACTAGGTTTCACTGATAGTTAGAAAAACTTCTTAATATTCTGTGATAGTATGAACTCAGTAAGGTATAACTCTGCCTCGAATACGTCAGAAAGCTAGAATCAAGTTAAATTCGTCGATTTCCAACCCCTCGATTCACAGAAAAACTTCAGATGGCCGCTTCTCGCTTGTCTACCATCCAAGCCACTTGTAACCGTAGAATTGCCTTGAGTTACATATCTGACTCAGTTAGAATGACTGACATTCGCAGAAAATGTGTCGCTGGTCTAATTTGCACACTATTTTCCTAGACTGAAACATTTCTACCTTCCAATCCCATGACTAGAATTCTATACAGATTTGTCTGCTGAACTCTTGCGAATAAACGTGATAAAATAAATGCATAGACTTGGATGGCTGATTCATTGCTACGACGTAAACTCTATTTATGTTGAGAGCAATTACGGCAAAAAACAAATCACAATCCTCTGTTGGGACTCATCAGTCAGCAACTAGCACTGTATTTAAAGGTGCTCCACAAATCCTTTTTCACTTACTGATAAATATATGGAGTGAGCTCCTCTATAAATTGCTGGGCGCTCGTAAGTTTTTAATTTGTTCACGAATGAATGGCTTGTATTCAGATATCGGGAAACGCTGAGTTCCCAAGTGGGATGTGTCTCCAGCGATAAAAGGTACGGCACAATTCTTCATACCTAAGTGCAGACGGAAAAATTATGGTTAGACATTATACTTACGTTTCTTGGTGTGCCATTCGAGTTTAAGGCAATATAAGCTCCTTCGTCCCATGCTCGGATAGAAAGACGTTTGAAGTGAATAGCGATCATTGGTGAGATACCAGCCACGAAGAGTATTGTCCGAATGTGAAAACATTTCCATTCGCATTGCATTAAGAAACATGACATAACACAATCTTGCGGCACTTTCACTACAATGTAGGTTGGCTCGACGGCTATCGTTTTTCTGTTGAGGTTCTTTCATTCCAGACAGGTGTATCAGTTGGCCATACTCATGGTGGTGTTGGTTATCCTTGCTGTCCACATTCATTGCATGAGTTGCAGAATTTATCTTCTATAACTCATTTATCAGGCCTAAATTCTTTAGCAGATATTTTCTCATTTACGGAGGCCTTCCCGTTTTTGTCCGAGGAACCGCTAATTTTATCTCGTACAACTTCTGATGATCATGGGTGGTGTGTGCCCTGCCTGTTGCGGCGTTTAAACGAACTGATTTCATAGGCTTTTAGACGACTTGTCGAACGGTTCGGAGATATCCGTCAGAGAAAACGCCAGCAAATTTTCGGATCTTGATGCTTTTGTCAGATACAGATATTTTGAGTGGTTATAAATATTGACTTTTTGATCTGCAGACTTTTTGATGATCTACCAACTCAATATAAGGTATGCCTCTAGGTGAAACTTCATCCACTGTATATCTCGAACAGTCGTTTGGTAAGATTGATAGGGTAGTATGTGGTTTGAATCACTTTGTCTCTGGGGCGACCCTACAGGATTTTTTTGGTTTTCTGACAAACACTACATCCTTCTGTTCAACTAAAGGCGAAATCGTGGTGTCAAATTTTTAGACTAATGATTTCTTGCTTCCCACAGCCCAGTTTAGGTAATCATAGCTTCCACTTTCCATTACTGTTTACGACGCATCTGTTGACTCCAACGAGGCTGTCTTACTCTCTGGGTCATAAGCTCCTAAGTTTCATAACATTTACCAAACATTTTTGTTTTCCCAACTTGCGCCGCTCAATTTGATCCTTATCGCAAATAGTTCTCATAACATTTAGAGTGGAGTAATATATGAAGATAAGGGACAATCATTACCTTTTATCACACCTGTGTCCCGCTTCCAGAAAGGGTACCACAAATTTACACTTTCTATTAAATAACTCAAGGATTCATCAATGGTCCGATTTTTTAGAAAGTGGTTGGGATAGAAAACTCTTTGGATGAGCACAAATTTCCTCTCTAGTTTAAGCACTGTAAAGTAATCCAAGTTATGAGGTTACCTCTATTTCTTTGACAGAGTTAAAATCTGTGTATTACGCGTGCAGTCTCGTCACGATGGAACGCCGAATCAAAGAAATCTAAAGCATTCAAACAAATCACGATTATCTAGCGCGCTTCCAGTCCAATGATATTAAAGACAAGAAAATGTCAAATTTTGGAGTACTTTGGTTTATTTTGCCCCATAATTGTACTGGTTTGAGTTAACTTAGTTTCACTGTCACCGCGGGCTTCATTGCATAACAGAACACTGCAAAACAAAAGCACGCCTTATAGATGTGAATGATCGTATTTGTCGCCACTAGCAATAAATGTTTGTGTCCTTCGCTTATCACAGCGTGTAAAAACACTCCCACAGGAAATTTCCTCTCCCGAGGTACGTTTATTTTCACGCGATTTCTTTCGGATTCTCTTATCTGTGCCACTGTGTTGTCATGTGTGTCAGCGGGCGCACTAAGAAGTTTTATCCTAAAAGATGTCGTCCGTATGTACAATTTGCTCTGTAGGCCATAGCTCTGGCATTTTGTAAAACTAACGGTTCTGTTATGCCCATTGAGGATTTTTCATCTGAGATTCGATGAATTTCGTAGGATTACACGACCACACAATACATAACCGGGAATATTTCCACCGCATACCTATACAAGGAAGATCTCAAACAAACAACCCTGTTCTTAAAATAAGGATAGCAATTTGCTTTATTTCCATAAGTTGACGAACCAAGTATATTCTCCACTATGTAAATAATTACGTAACAAGTCAACTACTAACGTAAAGTGGGGGAGTAACTTTTTCACAGTTTTTTTCTGTCAGATTAGCATTAGTTGCATAACTCAAGAGCGCTTACTTTTAAAAGACCATGAAGAATTTATGGCCATATCAGGACATGATTACGTTCATTCCGATCACGCTCTGTGCAAACATAGCAAGCGATATAGTTCTGAGTGGAATATAAAAGTCTCTTCCTCACAAGCGGAGAGAATTTTCGAGAACAACGTAAAAACTGGGGCTACAAATGAATGAGGTTGTTGATTGAGTGCCCTTGGGAGGGGTGCATTTGGGAAGACTGATTTTTCCAAAAACATTTGCAAATGTGGTTTACAGGTTTGCTAAACGTTGTTCCCACATCGAGAGGACCATGTTTTTCATTAGGTTACTCTAAAGCACTGCAACTAAAAAAATTTAAAAATCGTCTCCTCAAAAATTGCATAATTTTGTGATAACGCAGTGTGTCTAGTATATTCTGTTTCCTGGCTGTTTCTTTTAACCTTGTGTTCTTAATGTTCTGTTCACAGAAGAAGAGAATCTACAAATAGAAACGAGCCTATTTGGTTTACGTACTGATAACAGCAGTCAGAGATTAAGAGACTCATAAAATTCTTTTCCGTCAAAGGATATTACTACCGGGGGTACATTAGTCTTCAACTTTGCAGTCTTTAGTCTTTAGTCTAGTCTTTAGTTAGTCTTTAGCTAGTGCATATGATATAACGCACGACTAACAGCAGTGAAATTACAATATGAAGTTAGTGAAAACTGCCAAATCTTGGTTGTAGAGAAGGTCAAATGCTATGAGTACAAAATCTAATCTGTCTCGCTTGCATACTGCTATGCAAAGAAACCAAATATATAATACATCTATTTGCTACTCATCTGCCTTGCTACTAATTCTCCTTGATTTTAATGAGTAAACTGAACAATGCAAATGTTTTTACCATGGGCCATTTGAATTTTGCACTGATAGTTCGGACACCATTTCTTTCCAACCCTTATGTATTTCCTATGATATGCAAGCACCATACATACAAATCTGATTTTATCCATTTATCTGTTGACAATTATTTTAGAAACCAAAAACTGATTGCACATGCGAAGTGAGTGAGATCGCGTTCATTTGCCTCAAAAATAATTAAAAAACAAAAGTTTTTTCTGATAATATCCCTGTCTCTTTTTTATGTGAATGCTTCGCCTTTCTTCCTTTTGGAATCATTCAGTGACTCAAAATCTCTGTCGCGCCGCATGTTTCTGTTCAGTCTAGTCTTTCATATTCAGGTTAACTTTTAAATTTTGTTAATTATTACTAGACCTTTTGAGGGGCAAGTATATGAGTTGTTTTATATTCTTCCCGAAATATTTAAATGAACTCATGAAACTGAAAAACGTTTTGGGCAAAGCGGTTTATCATCCTCGCAACATCTGAGTTTACCGTCCCTTCATTAGGCTAAAATAACACAAGATTCTGTTATAGACAATGAAAATCAAAGAATCAAAACTTTTCAAACGGTACATTGGGCTTTTTGGAATTGAACTGAACGCTTTTGGTAAACACTATCATTGTAGTACTATTTAGCAAGACACGCCAGAGTTCAAATAGCAAGGCTGTTCAGTGCAACACAACACCCAAGAACAACAGTATTACCAGTATATACCTCACACCTCACTTCCTTGCCAGTTTAACGATTATAGGGGCTTTCTTGATTTCTGGCTGTCATCTTATATCTCAAAGATAGTTTTTTAGAACCTGTTTACAACATTTTATTATCTATTAAACTTTGTATGTTGTTTAATGTTGCCTCTTTACGCGATTGTGCGTTGTTTAGGCAGATGGAACAACGTAATCATGTCCTTTCATCGTCTCGTTACGAGTATTTAGTGAGCTTTTGTATAAATAGACTGAAAGCACCTTGAATTAAAAACATGTTCGTATCTGAGATATCTATTCTTCATAAACTTATCTTTTCTCAACTTTTTAGTTCAAAAAATTGAAGCGTGTACTGTCTTTAACGAAAGACCGTCTCAGTTGTCACGTTACTGACCGACAGTTTCATGTTAATTCTGGTTATTTGGTAAGTACACTGTGTCACTGAACGTTGGTGGATTGCATAGTCCTTCCGAACACTTCCGCTGTTGGTAAAGCATATGTAGAATGAGCATAAACACCGACTTTGAGCTTTTGACTTTGTCAGTCTTCCTTCTGGTATTTACCGAATACCCAGAGTCTTTTAAATAATGCAACATTATATTAAATCCCCTTCGCAAACGCTTGCCGGAAAGGGGCTACAGTGATAAACTTTTTTTCTAATACCGACAAACTGGATTGTTTAACAGAAAAGTCAAACTAACTTCAAGCAGACTTTTAATCAATCCATATGGTGATACATTAAACTGGTGGTTTGGGTGTGATTATGGGTTATTAATCAGATTATTGTTGATTGCTGCGCCAAGCTGTGCGGTTACCTTCAAAACTGGCCACTCGTGATTGAGCGTTCAATTATCCAGTCCACTACCCAGGAGGTTGAGGTTTGGGGGGTTTCCGGGTTATCAGAAGGTGCATGATGAAGATGCTTCCCAGTAAAATAAAACGCCTCTGCTTTGTAACGTAGGCTTGCTTCACATATTGGACGAAATTTTAAAAACCAGAAAAAGTTTCATCATCAGACGACTGAACCTCACCAGCACACGATTAATGAAAGTACATGCAATGGTGTTATTTTTACTGCTAACTGGAAGCTGTACGATGGAAAAAATAATAAAATCGGTCAAAAGGTTTAGCAGAAACCATTGTCTAAACAGTTTAGAAATGGAGATCTTTCGTCCCTTGACTACTGTATCAACCAGTAATATTTCAGTTATTACATCAAGATGGCAGCAAACTTACTGTGTGTATAAAATTTAATTTAAAGTCCTTATTATTTTACAGTGTATCATGTCCATGTGCCTAAGATGGACAGTTCTGATCATTTATAACGTTTTGTTTTTGAAAACTGATGTATTTAATATCATTTATATGTCTGCGTTTTTTGGGTAACACGTACATGAGTGAGTCATGAGTGAGTGTACATGTTAGTACGCAATTGAGTGTATATCGCTAATTTCGTGCAATTAGGGTTCAAGTAGTGCATAGACTTGACGGAAACTCTGAGACCGTACTTACACGATGAGTCCCAAATTGAGTAAAATCGGTCGTGGGCTGTCGGAGTTTTCAGCAACCTTATGAGTAGCGTATTGCGTCTGAACAAACTAAGCTGGATTTGTAGACAAAGACTACCAGACAATATCAAGGTTTTCGAAAACAAGATTAAAAATGACGTCTAGAGAGGTGCTAGCTTTATGTAACGTAAATTGTGATAAACGATATTGGTTCTTGACTGGATAAATGATTGTATAAATAACGGGAACTTGTAGGCTAGATGTGATGCCTTGCTTCAACTCTGGTGTTTGGTCAGATGTAAGTTGCTGAGTTCATGGTATTCCAAAATGTAATTCAGATGGACCGTAAGCTAGGCACCGAAATGACGTGATTTGTAATGTGAAGACAAAACAATAACAAAGTTGACATTTTGACACAGTTGCTTAACTTCACTCTTAACTAAATAAATTAGTACAACCGCCCTTACAATAGGCGAATCCTTAAAGAAAACTGCAACTCACGCGTTTGCAAGTTTCAGAAAACTCACTGAGTTAAGCGAAAGCGCACTGAAATATTCTGATAAATCAAGTGCAAGCAACAAAGTGTCCGTAGATATTGTTTTAAACTGTGGGAGTAAGAAGTGCGGTAAGCTCGGATACTGCTCACAGCGGAATTGCTAAAATCCATTGGTCAGCCGGACCAATGATCATAGTAAAATAGTCAATCACTCTGCGGAAATGCTTCCGTACGTACCAGGCAATTTAGTCATTTTGAGCAGTCACGGTGATACAATGCAGTGACAGTGTCGTCTCTCGGTGATTAACTACTCAAAATCAGATTTTGCAAGTCAGCAGGTTAAACGAGAATCTGATAGAAATCAACCAATTATACAATGGGTTACTAGTTTGTCCCTCATTTTATCTTCTACAGCAAGCTGGCATTCCCATGGAAGCTCTGGTAAATTCTGAGCCCTGTGGATGCACCCTGGTAAGTTTTATATTGCAGGAAACATAGATTGTGATCACGTGACACAAGTTTTACATAATTTTGAAGGTATTTTCTTATCTTGAATCTCCGATGACTAATACAACTGGTTAAACGCTATTCTATTACCCAAAATCTGAAAAAAAACTAGAGTTGACTGAATTTTGGCTTATCCATTTACCCTCATCTGCATTTTTTTCAAACCTTTGCGTGCCCAAAGCATTTGAGCATAATGGTTCATATCATCAAAAGTTTTGAAAAGCAAGCAGTGAAAATTGGCGTCACAAGCCCAGTGAATGGTAGCGTAAGATGATGTAGTTATTGACGTGAAATGTAGCCACCAGTAAAAGTTATTTTTTATCTCCTGTGCACAAAATTGATGACAAGTAACTCTAGATTGTAACTATACAGCTTATCATTCAATTATATCCCGAGAGCTATCGCTGAACAGACTTTCTTGAAATTGCGAAGGTCATCATCATCGGCAGCATGACGTCAGTGTTCAACAACGACGCTTCGCTGAAATACAACCATTATTTATTTGTTTGAAAGCCTTATTGTAAAGAGTTAAGGTGAACGGGAGAGGGACTTGGTTCAAGCTTATCACAATTATTCCGATGAGCATATACCTCCAGACATTCACTCAGGCGATTAGGATTGAAACTGACAACAAGAAGGCCACTGACATCGGTTGGCAGCCATATCTTGTATTGTCTCCAACCAGGCACAGTGGGGATCACGCGGTTCCCATTCTGGAATGTGAGTAGCACCGACAGCACCCAAGCGTTTCGTGATCTCCTTCATACTCCTCTGCCAAGTCAAGGATTGGCCACCTCTCTGTTTATGCCAATCTGAATTAGGCATGGAAAACAGCACTCTCTTCGGCAAATGATGGTTCGGCATACGTAACACATGTCCCACCCAACGCAGCTTCTGGTGCTGGACACATTATTCTATGGAAGTACCCGTTGCACAACCGAAAACGCGCTTTCTAACTGCGAAGGTAGCCTTGCGCTGTAAAACACGCATACACATTTGGTTGGATAATCTTTCTCCAGCGTGTTCTAAGACCATGGTTTCTTTCCTATTGTTTTTCAGTCTGATCGAGAACGTCATCCTGAAAAATTTCCAGCGGAGTGTCAATGTCATGCCGTGAGTGCTGAGCATTTATTCGGCTGGGTATTGCGAGTCCTCACAACAATGAATTACAATAACAGGAGCACATACGCAGATTCAATTTATTTGTTTCTACTAACATGAAATAACTAAGCGAGCTACGTAGCGAGTTTAGGATTTTATATGCCAAAGTTATTCGATTAGCAGGTATGAATTATTTCATATTCCGGTGGATGCCTGATGAGAAACCACAAATTTTCGGCAGCTATCCAGTGAGTAGAGTGGACACGTCATCGGTATTTCTTGGCCAGCCCTCTCTCGATTTCACTTAATCTTCGTTTAACTACTTGTTTTACGGGACTCTGATAGACGTTTATTTCGCGCTAGCGCGATCTCATCGTTCAGTATACATTTACAATTGAACGTATAAAAAGGGGCAGTGTTTCCCGTGCACATAAAAACCTTAGTTATGGTTCAGCGGTTAAGTGAGCTTGAACCCTTTTTGCAATACCGCTATAATTTCTAGTAATGGTAGACTCTTGTGACCCAGCGATATTACTGTTCGACGCCACGGGTAACGCCAACAGGCAAGCGTTATTAAAGACGCAAGAAAATATATACTTAAAATGGATGCGAAGCAATCATCAGACTATCACAATTTATTGACTTTTCTGCTTGACTAGAAAATAACAGTAGCTCACCGTGAAATGTTGGCAAGTAGTGTCTTCCGACTCGTGGGTAGTGTTAATTGCGTCCTGATTGAAGCATAACCAAGGTGGAACCAGATTTAGGAAAACTGCTCACCAGATAACGTAAATCATACGCATATTCTGTTTTTGACTATTCCGGGCGAACGCGTGCTAGCCATGTAAGCAAAAAGAAGGATACTGGCCTGCAGTCACTGGCCGGACTACCCAGTGATGCGGCTCACGATAAGAAACAGCTAGTAAAAATTGAGCCTCCGTTTCATAGCGTGGTGAAAAGGACCTGACCAATGGGCGTTTGGGATTACGCGGTTAGTCGATAAGGTTCCTAACATACTCGCTTTGGTCAAACAGTTGCCTTACCAAAAAATTTTCAGTTTAGTTTTAGGTTTTGCAGGGGCTACAGGACGTACCCAGATTGTACAGTTAAGAAAAGTAGAAACTTCATCTATACCAGTTAAGCTTACTGCAAACGTAAGAAAACGTTATTAGTCAACGGAGTACTAACCGGCTAGACAAAAGTGAACTGAGAAGGTATCGGAACCCTTCATATAATCATTTCCGAAGTTGTTTGATATAGACCAGAAAACAGGATTGCTTTTCACACAGAAACAGCATGCTTTATCAAGTATTGTTAACGTCTGGTGTTGACTGAATTTGAAGTTAGAATATAATGTGCAGAGAAAATCAATGAACGTAAAACCAAATGATTTAAGATGACCTCGCCTATTAGTGGATAAAAGTAACAACCAAGAAAGGTGTTTATGATTGGTATTTTTGATTGATTTGACTGTTTTCACCATAATCTCCCTACCTTAAGGAAAATTAACTTTAGCAGACTAGATTATACAGGCAGTCACAGAGGGTGTGCTTGATATTGCCTCCATTTGGTGTAAACACTAAACTACTAAGTTCGATGGTACCATATCCACAAGATAGAAGACTTTGAACTGTACTGACTTCTCATCATATTTAAGCCTACTATTTTCTGTTATTTACCAACATTATTTTTTGTTATGTTTACTTAAGACATTTATTCATGCAATGAAATATCACGGTGGCTTTGCAAATTGGGTACCACAGTCAGCTGAATGATGCGATCTCGGATATTCGTTACAGTGATGTTAATGTATGAAATGTACGAAGTAAAACCAGCGTAGTCGTCCTGAATGGGTATACGAGATTCTTTTATGAGAAAACTTCTATCTTCTATCTATCCATCTTATTTTATCTTCTATCTTGGTTTACTATTTCCTGAAAAGATGAAAATACTGGTCATTTTCATCTCACTACAAACCCACAAAACCAGTTTGATTTCATTTCTTATGAAAACGATATGAAAGTGTATCAAACTGATCGTTCCCGTCCGAATAGACTTGCTCTTTGTGTTTCTTCAACTCTTGCTAAAACAACCATCGCGTTGCAAAAGACAAACTCTGTTACCTGCCAAGTATCACCAAGTCATTGTTTGTTCCTAAGTCATTTTCTTTTAATGAATTTCATCGAGATGTTTTACGGAACTGCCCAGTGCAGACGCTTGGGTAGCACATTCATTAGTGCCGCCCAACAAAGCAATCATAGTACTTGCACGAAGGTTGTTAATCAGTTGCCAGTTGAAATTAAAGTACCAGAATTTTGTCCGAATAAATTTCAAGCATATTAATTTTCCATTATTTTAAACGTGTTTGTATAGTACTTCACACCCCCGGAATTTAAGCGACGGTGCATATGCGGAACGGTGAGTTTATATTCAAAATAAATATGCATATTCCTATTGTTCAAGGAGGAAACTTTGATTTGTTTTATTTGCTCAGAAGTTTGACCGCTTTAATTTTCAACGCACAGAAACATTCTGCAGTAGTTCTTCGAAGGAGAGGTCAGTATGTCGTTTGTTTTGGTGAAAATTCGTAAAGCAAGTGCTCTTATCTTGTATAATTTCATAACTCAGTGACCATTTGGACTACACCATTGGAATTATTATCTTTGCTAAAATGGTCACTCTCCTTTATTGTACGCATATCAGCCGTTGAAAGTTTATTCATTAGCTTCAAAATACTTTACGTACACAGGGAAAAAGGAGAGTGATCAGAATTTGCATTATGGATAACGTCATAGTAGTAGAAAGGACAAAGCTTAGTGCGATACTGTTCAAGGTGGTCAGAGAAAGGGAAGGGTATATAATAATTTGTAATATCTTTCTAACTTTGACGTTTTGTACCGTTGTGCACCTGAGCCTAATGATTCAAACAGGGCCTCATGTATGTGCTGGTTTGGTTCTTAAAGCACATTCCTCTCGGGATTTATGTGTGATACTTGAAATTCGTGATTTCACACATGACCATCCCGTTGACCATCTGAATGTACTGGTTTGAATCGCACACCAGGTTTTAGAACAAATAGAAGCAAATTTGAGTGTAGTACTTGAGTTGACTGCTATAGTGATTCTAAGACTGGCTACAACCTGGCTTCGCATTCAATTCTGAGACCGTTGGCCGAAGCGCCCTCCAACCCAAACCAAACGTCTACGTATAGGAAGAAAGCCTTCTGTGGCAGATATTTTGCATCCACCCACATAATCCAAACAAAACCATGGACAAAGTACATAGCTTAAGATCATCAGATTCCTGTGTAGGGGCCCACGTTTGATCTGATTTAAAATCCGTTTATTCATCAACGATTATATTACATAAATAACTTTGCTGATATGTGTCATTCTGGCAGACCGATGATCCTGAAGCAATTAGAAGTTCCTGTCAGTGTACATCGGTGAGTCAAATGCCCGGTTTCATTTGATTTCGATAAACACATCGAACCGAAGATGTTGAGTAAATCAAGCTTGGGTGTCCTTCATGGTTGCTGGTCTGTTCGCCGAAAAGATCGCAAACTGACCAACAACCAAACAGTGAATTTCTTTTTTATATTTTCGCATAATTAACTAGGTGGTTTGATTTAAATCAGTAACATCAACATAAAGTAAAAAACAAATTGTCTAATCAGAATACCATTAAAAAACCATCCATGCTTAAAAACAACCCTGATCGTTGATTAAAAATTGGCAGGGTCGGTATTTCACGCCATCTAAGAATGAATGATAGGACTTCAACATCATACAAACAAGAAGATGAACAAAAGAAAACTGGCAAGCTTACACTCCACAAGAAAATGGTGGCAACCGTAGTCCGCATTTAGTGAAACCTACTACTCTGATATTAGATAAGTAATGTCAGTGATGAATTTAGCTCCACAATATGACTGATTTGCAGTATTAGTCCCTAGCGGCATTGTCTAACAAGCTTGGCACAGCTTTCAGCAGACGTCAGGTAGTCTGGAAACTGCTTTTTGAGTGAGTGCATCCATTTGCGTTCCTCAAGGTTCCATGATAATGCAAACGAAAACCAAAATTACTTGGGCAACAGCAAAGTATTGTACTCACTGACAACAGATGCTCCGATACGCCCTTATAGTCCCTGACGACGTTTTTCTTGGCAGAGAGGAATCCAAAAATAACAAACAACAACGGTGAGGAGGAAGACACTTTAAAAGTGGACAATAGATGCGCACAATTTTGTCATTCCAATTTATATGTGGAGACAACCGTGGTTCGGATTTAATCTTATTCATAACCGAGGCACATGCAGCGAAGCCTAAGTCAGAAGATAAAGAAAAAACGCTACATTGATCTGTGCGTTGCAGAATCTTCAGTAGCAGAACAGCCACCACCAATTACCGTACTTCAGCTAACTTCTGCGTTCTTCTGAAAGCCTGTCTCTTCCGGGCCAGACTGATAAAACTGACTGCAGGTAAATCCAAGCTGC